ATTTTTGCTTTGAGTAGGTATTAGATTGGTCTTACCAGGTTGGATTTTAGGTGCATATTGCAAATGTGTCTCTAATTAATATGTAAACACAGGAGAAGTACACACATGCTGGTGATGTGCTTTTTGTGATCATGTACGTAATTTGTTAGCTAACACACGTTGATTTTGAGCACATTAAATTATATGTGCACATTGTGTAGCTTCATGCTTTATGTGTTGTTATAGTTACGTGGACTCATATTCCTCCCCAAGGAGGCCCCCTCCCTCCTCCTATAGGGGGTCAGAGTTCAGGTTAGAATTGAATACAGCCAGGTGAGTGGTCAGTCCAACTTTCAGTGCTGCACTGGTCAAGGTGGTCAGTTCTGACCTAGTGCACCACTACAAGTAGTACAGTTGTGTGATAATTAGAAAATAACAAGGACCAAGGTTTTGGGTATTCTAATACATGTAGTATCTTTTTCTTTAACAATAAGTGTGTTTTTGATTTTATACTATCCTGAAACTAATATGTATTCTTTGTTTTTTTAACCTTTTTTTCCCCAGTATTACTTATAGTCTGTGTTTGAATTTTAAACTTTTTCTAGATTTTGCTTTTAATTCTGAACTAGTTTAGCCTTATGGGTCCGACAGATTTAGTGCTAATCCAAAGAAATCTGGTATTATTTTGTACTTGCTAGAGTATCAAATCATGGACGTTATATATATTAGACCATGTCACTGTCCAAAAGGTTTACAATATGATATTGGAATTTCTGTTATATGCTGAAATATCAATATTGTGGCCTAACATTTTGACATGTCTAAATCATGTTCTACAGTGCAGATTTAAGAGTCTCTGGTCATTCTTTAAGAACAGATATGGTTACTTGTAATTCTTTACCAGCATTAAAACATTGCACACTAAAACTGAGTCTTATACAGAGTTATGGCCCTTTGTTTGGAATGCTTTTATTTGAAGTTTATCTTTTTTTATATTTCGCACAAAACTATTAAAATGTTACAGTGTTTTTACTGGTTAAATTGCAATGTCACTTGCACCATTGTTTTGCAGTTAAGACATTTGATTACTTTCAATTCTAAAATGGAGATTAGGTTATTTACATACAAGATCAAACATCAGTTGGTTGATTGTAACTATTGTGAAAATTTTGAGTTTTATCTTTAGAAACTGCACTCCGCCAACATGTTAAAATCATAACTTATTACATTTAGAATATTGTTTATGTAATGAGACTCAATTTTCTTACAAAATCAAAAAAGAAACAATTAGAAAAAGACATGAAAAATAGTTTCTGTGAGACACAAGCTTATTTTCTTATACTGAAACGTATTCTTTTTGTTACCCTGATTGTGTATAGAATAGTTTGGAGTTTTTTTTTATACATTTTGTCATTTTCTTTATGGAAAATTTGATAATTACTTATCTGTTATCATATTTATCTGCTAATAATTCCTTTCCTACATTAAAGCCCCCTTCTTCCTTTTTGCAGACTTATCAGTTTTAACATAGTAAGAGCTCTAATTAGCCCTCCTCGTACTCTGTTATTTTAGCACTAAGGAAAGGGACTTATTTAAGGATAAATATGGTAAATTAATTTATGTTGAAAACAATGCTTTAAAAAGTGAAAGCTTTTAAAAAAAGTAGCTTTGAACGGGAAAAATATTAAGAACTTGATGTGCAGTCTGTAGGCTGCATTGTCTTTTATAACACAAAAATTAAAAGAAGCCAGTTAAATGTTTTGTTATTTTTTCTAAACAACAAAACCATTTGTAATTTTATGTATTTATTGACAGGGTTGCAAGTGGATGATATCAATTAATGACTATTATTCAGTTAATTTAACCTTTACCGTTCCAGGTTCTTTTAAATCTATACAACAGAGGCAAATTAGAGAGACTACGGCTTTCATCAGCCCTTTGTCCAATTCATTTTTCATCTAAAACATTTAAATACAATATTCATAAATGGAAAACTGATGTTAAGTGATAATATGACATTTAAAAAGTTAATATTTTCTCAATGTTTTAAGGGATAATATGACATTTAAAAAGTTAATATTTTCTCAATGTTTTAAGGGATAATATGACATTTAAAAAGTTAATGTTTTCTCAATGTTTTAAGTGATAATATGACATTTAAAAAGTTAATATTTTCTCTATGTTTTAAGGGATAATATGACATTTAAAAAGTTAATGTTTTCTCAATGTTTTAAGGGATAATATGACACTAAAAGTGATTATTTTCAATGTTATAAGCAATGATATGACATTTAATAAGCGATTATTGGATTTCTTCTCAATGTTATCAGTAAGTGTTGATATGGCATTGAAAAAGTGATTTTCTTTTCAATTTTATAAGAGATAATATGACATTTGAATAGTTGTTTTCATCTAAATATTCTTATTAAAAGTGATAGTATGACATTTAAAAACAGATGAAGTAATATACAGATAACTGTATCATGAACATCAAGTCATGATGCTGATTTGGAACTTCCATTAACAGATACTGTCTCATCACTTGTGTATATTAATCATTTTCATCAAATGAAAAAAACGAGTAAATGTAAAATTCAGGTTTTTATAGATTAACTCATGTAATGCCTGTCTGATTAAGAGCTACAGAATGTGAAATCAATACATATTATAGAACTTAACAAAACCCTAAACTTAGCCATTTTCTAGATAAATTTATTAGTGAAAAACAGCGTCAATAAAAAGAAAATTGCATCTGTTTTTTTTTCATTTTTCAGAGATGACGACTTTGGCAGGATAAACAATGGCTATGGTAAGTTTTTTCTGTTATCTTTTCCAGTAAATTTGTAAATAGAAATAACGGTATTTATCTGGCATGATGTCGGACCAACTTTATTAATTGCTTTTGGTAATTAACATGTTGGCTCACTATGGTTATGCAGGATTATTCAGGTAAGTTTGATTGTACTTTTTATTTTGTGACTCGTTCCAAACAAAAAACTCCGAAATGTATCGATATTTACATGTTGTCTTTCAATTTGATATTGCATTGACTGTTCATGACTTCAACATCATAATATATACCTACCAGATATTTACTGATTAAATTACTGTGTAAATCCATAACATTGAAGGGTATCTCACTTAAAGACTGACTCATCGTGTTTGTTTGTCACATGTTAAATGATTTTGTTAATAGTCAATAGTACACAGGTTTGAGAAATCTGGAAATCTGCCTTTCACACTCGGTGTTAAATGATTATAACCTATGAACCATTCAATAGGTAAATTTTGTATATCTTAAGCCCACTTCTTCCATTTAGCATAATTAAATATACCATATTGCTATACAGTGCTTACTAAGATCAGTAAATCTGAATAATTGTCCTGAAAACTGCAATCATCATGTCTGGAGTAATGTTATAAATTTTATGTTTTCAAAGTTATATGTTGGGCCCCACATGGAAGTGCAGGTGTACCCTATAGTAATCAGGGTAATCTCTGTCCGTCCGTCCGTCTGTCCATCAGCATTTTTGTTTCCCAGTAATAACTTGAGTCTTCATGGGTTGATCAAGCTCAAACTTCATACAGTGTTTCCTTATTGAAAGTGCTTATATGGGATTGCTTAAAAAGGTCAAGGTCACTATTTCTATAAATAGAATATCAGTTTCTGTGTGAAAAATTGTTTGCTTTGGCCAATCTAACCCAAACTTCATACAGTACTTCCTTACTGAAAGAGTTTGTTTAGAAATTGCTTTACAGTTTTGAAGGTCAAAGGTTAAGGTCACTGTTACTATAAATAGATAATTAAGTTTCCCTATGATAATTCAAGTTTGCAATTTTTTGTCACTTTTCTTCTGTAAAAAATTATTATAAATTAAATATTTTTAATTTCTTGATTAATAACATTCATAAAATGTCATGTTTTTCATCTCATGGGTCGGAAACTTCAGTATTTTTTTCGTGGTATGGAATTACTGTTATTCACACTTATCAATTGGATTATATTCAAAAATTATGCTTTGTTTTTGGTGGTATGTCTAAGTTGGGTAGGGGGTTGGGAGGGGTATTTCCAGCCATTAGATAGCAGGACCCTTGCAGACCTGTCAGCGTTGTAGTTCCTTTTCTACAGGATTGACAATTTTTGAAAAGGAAGATTCATTCCACCTTTTCTGCTTTCATTTAGAGCTTAACAAATCCCTGAGTTTGAAAGCCACAAGAAGGGTTTTCTTCCAGGAATTCAAGACCTGATATCATATGATTTCATAATAGTCATCTCATAAACTTAAGTTTGTTTGCTGGGTTAATACTCCTAGAACAGCTGTAGGGCCGTTTTGAGGTGCTGTCTTCTGGTGATAGCTGGTTCCTATCTCATTAAACAACATATGGGAGACTCTTCCAGTGTTGTGCAAAATGACACAACCATCTTAACACAGACAGGTCTGTTTCGCATGCCTGACTTCTTGTAAGACACAAACCAAGCCATGCACCTTGGACCAACACCTGAGGTGATGTAGAGCTGATCTGTTGGAACCCTTATTTACTGAAGTGAAGGAAACATCTTAATATCTATAGTTACTGCCAAAAAGAATTCATAAAACAATGGTGATACACAAAAAGGTCAACAGTTGAAGTATTTGAGCTGATTCCCAAATATATTCCATGTACATACTCATCTTTTTCAGTGAAGTGCCACTGTCGACATATTTTGTATCATAAAAATATAAACAAAAGGTATTTGTAAATCGCCACCTTTGCATATCGAGGAATACAGACCCACAAGGTGTGTGGAGACCCTGTATATGTGTGAATACATGATCAGGAATAGAGTCTGATATTATACACAGGAAGCCTTGCATTCTTCAGTATATATGCAGGTAATTGAGTGTGTAAGCCAGTGAATTTCTTCCTGCAAGGTACAATTAGATTAGTGTTGTACATGTGCGTGCATTTGCTGAAGGAAGTTGTATCTAACTAACGCTGCTCTGTGTAGTGGAGACTTCAGTTTGGAATGATAGAAAAGAAAGAGGACTAGTACTGAAAGATAAATCCCGTTCGAGATCTAGTTTTTAAATCTTGTAGACAGATGCGAGTTGGTCATCAGAATGTTCAACTTCATTACGAGCTGAAGATTTCTAAATATGAGAAGATGACCAGAAACAGGGAAATTGATCAACAGTCAGAACAAAATTAAGGATAAGACTACATGTATGTACAAAGCTAATGAGGCTGGAGAAAGTGGATGTGAGATATGTTGTTCTGAAGTTATATATATATACAGATGATGTAGACAGTGGTATGTGGTGAGTCCCAAGGGTAGTTGCGAAGCAACTTTGTTCACAAGGAGTTGTTTTATCAGCCCTTGAGGGCTAAATGCTTGGATTAAAAGGTAGTGTTTGGGAGGTGAAAAGCTGTGTATTCATCAGCCGTTAATTCTGCTGCAGGTACATTTACATAGTTACAGAAAAATATGTGCATCGTGTGTGACTTGTACAGGTAAAAATAGCCCTGTGTATTGACTGTAGGGAAGATGAAATACAGAATTTTGTCAGTGACCTGTTTTTAGATATCATTTATTGAATTAAGTATATCAGGATATCGTTTGTATTGATACTCTTGAACTTTGTGCTCATTTTCTTTTTTCCCCTCCTTGATTTTGAAATTGTTTTATTCAATTTTGACTTCAAAGAGATCTGTATGAAATTGAATTGTCTGCAAGTTCAGTGAGCTATCGTGTAATGTCATCACACAGACAGACATAAGGACATATAGACAGACATTGGGACAAACACAGACAGACATTGGACAACTTCCTGTGATATGATTATGATATCAAGAAAGAAAAAATATTGTACTGAACACTCCTGAAATTATGATAAACATTTACTTGATTTTTTTTTTAAATACACCATACAATTGAGCTACTTTAGTTATATCACTCTAGCACAACATTTATTTCTGTAAAAACCTATATTACTTTCAAACTTGTAATTTAAACAGGTAAGAATGTGTTGATATATGATATAGCTTGGTGCATGTTAACATACACATTATTTCTTTGTTTGCCTGTTAAGATTATCACTGAAGCATGAAACAGAATGGTTATGTGTGATCACAGAAGGCACACCACATAGTCAATAACTATTTGTTTTAGACTTACAGTTCAGTTCTCAACTTTGTCAGCTCAAACCTTACAATACCAGACACAAACATTTGTTTTTCTACTGTGAGCTTATTCATTTGCCTTTAAGTTTGAAAGAAATCCCGCAAGATATATTTGAGAGATATGTAAATGAGATATTCCTGGATATTAAATTCAGATTTTTTCTCAGTCTGATCTGGGTGTTAAAATCGAAAAAGATGAAAATAATCTAAAGAGAACTTCATTTTTTTTTCAGATAAATTTGCACAAATGAAGATTTTGAATTGTAACTAATGCCACCATATATATATTTTGGTATAGACCAGGCAACTGGGTAATCTGATCATACTTGAGGTGTCTGTATCAACTGAAAGATGGGCTATATATCTATATATTATGAAGTGAAACACTGTCAATTCTTTCATGCATGTAGAGTTTAGTCCAGGAGAGGCATTTAATTCAGGTCACATATCCTTGTGTTGGAATCCCACCTTATACCATGTGTGTACAAAGCTAGAATGTCAGTATAAATGAAAGTACATTGTGCTAATGGTAACTTAGTAACTGAAATGAGAGCCTTAAAAATCACAAATATGTATGTTATGTCCTTTTAAACTGTGTTTAGCAACCAGATTTAACGTAATAAAAATGTCACTTGAGTTACAAATATTTAATGGGATGGTGGAAATTACATTTATTCTAAAACTCATTGTTACGAAATTCTAAAATTCAAATTCAAACAGCTGATCGTGGAATGCTTAAAAAATTGATGAAGGAATTCATATCGCCAATTCTGGAATACTTAAAAATAGATGAAAAAAATTAAAAAAAAAAAGTTTAAAAATATTTTATGTACATGTTATGATAGAAATCCTTTAATTCCTGTCCTTTATTTACATATTTATAGGAAAGCATAATGCTATGCAATTATGCAATGACGCAAGTGTCCCTCATATTAATTAGGCATGAATTACACACCTTAGACATGTTGGAAAACAAACCTAACTACATCTAAGGAGGACATGTATAACATTCTTCATAGACTAAAGAAGAATATGTTATCATTGAGAAATACACCATGTATGTCTAGTAGATGTATTTATGGATGTTAGTGAGTGGTTTTTTTATGTGTATGACATAACTAATTACAGACACAATTGTTACATTGTTACAAATTTCCGTCATTAGTGATTCTGACACTGTCAATGTTTCCGATGCTTTCCTCTTGTATGTGTATTTGTAGACATTTGTTTTCTAATGCCCGTATTACTGCATCTCCTATATAATACACAAATGTATACATCAGAGACTTTATGACTGTTGTCACAGGATCCTTGTAATAAATCTCCTAAATATTCTTATTCTGAACGTTTCATAATGGTATCTATCGATAATCTTAAAGTTCTTTATGTCAACTTCCTGAACTTTTCTGTATGTAGTATGATTTAAAACTTGAGTATGATATAATAATTCACTGTCTCAGTTTTATTTTAAATTTCACTTTGAATTTCTTCTAATATCATTTTATTTTTTCTTCGTTTACGATTTGAGTCATTGCTATTAGATATTGGCATGCCCAACCTTCTACCCAAATATAATTGTACATGTCACTATGTAAACAGCAGTGGAGACAATTAGACATGTCTGACGGCAGAGAATCTGACACCAAGTGCCAGAGGACCTGAAAGTTCCATGTACCATTACACTGACATAAAAAACGCAATATCCTGGAGTATGCTGATGGAACACCCAGGATATACTTAATTATGTTGGAGAACAGAAAAAAAAACAAGTCATGCAACTGAACACTCATAATTTATAAAGTATATGACAGAGTGCAAGCAAAGCACAGAATTCTGCTGACATAATCTTACTGATCAAGGCCTTATGAAAGACAATATTTGGACTTAATACAGAATTTGATGAATTTTGAAATACAGGATAGACAAAGAAAGAAAATGGCAAAAAAAAAAGCTAAGTCATAGCATCATGAGATGTTAATATCTCCTAACAAAGTCAATTTTATTTCTCCCTAATTTATAATGATATTGTAAATCATCATAGTTCCAGCCCATATTTATATACATTTAGGTTTTTGGTTAATTATATGTGACAGGAAAATCAAATTTTCATCTGGGTGATAGATTTTCTAAAATTATGTCAAATCACAGAGATTGTTTTCATGCATGAGAAAAATAAAAAAGACAAACATGATTGGAATTAATGTTCTGTAGAATTATATTGCAAGAGGGCTTGATATATATATTAATCATAATTTGTCACCATGGATACATATATTCATCATAATTTGTCACCAGTAACTACATATGGCATTCCTGTACAAATAGACAGTGTAGATTGTTCACATAAAAACGAAACTGGATTTTCGTACATGCACTTTAATCAGAGAACTACAAATAATTATATAACAGTAGAAAAATCTGCTTCAGGCTTGATCTCCAAGGTGGTCTTAAAAGCCATAAAGGAGTGTAATTGAACTTATCATGAGTTTTAAATTGGAATTACTTTCATCAGCCATTTTCTGAGTCCTTTCATTAAGTGATACCACTACCATCCTGTTTTAGTGTTTACATTAGTACATTTCAGATAGTTGATGATAGTCAAGTTATACCGTATTAGCCAGTATTTCAGTCAGACTAAATATATGTCTATAACCATATTGTACTGAAACATAAAGACTGATGGGCGTGTGTCGTAGGATTTCCTAAGGGAATATTTAATGGACATCTGACAATCAGGTTTCACAATGACGGCTGTAACAAAGGACAGATCAGAATAAGAAATCATCAGGAATGTTATAATTTTTTTATCTCCCTCTCTTAAAGCAGTATCTTAAACTACCTCCCAATGATTAAGTTTTACTACTAAATCTGGTATATCCAGGATTCTTATTTTCCATTTCGTTCATCAGAAATATTAAGTGCGTACACAGATTGTTTCACAGTAGCATTTTACTTCACAACCTCTGAATATTTTAGAAAGCTTTGAATTCAGTTTCCTTCTAAAGGAGAGCTGTACATCAACAACACCGGTTGATGGCCCTTATAACCTTTTATGTGATAAAGTCCGTTAAGAATATAATAACGATAATGATAATAATAATTTGCCACACTTCCATCAGGGCTCTCGATCTGCCAGATTTGGGGCTGAATACCCAATACAAAATAGTATCTTTTTTTCCCAATTTAGACCCGAGGTTTTCCCAATTCTAAGGAAAACACCATTATTTTTCCCAATTCTAAGGGCCCCGGGCCCCAGTCCCAAAATGGAGTGTGAGAGCCCTGACCAGTTTATACTGAATTTGATTTAATTTGCTGTTTTCTGTGAAGCGGTGACATTTATTAAAACATTATTAACTATCACATATTTTACACTGTACATCTATATATCTTCATTATTTAACTGTTTTTGATGTAATGTAAGACCCGTGAGTGCATTACTCATGAAGCTAATTATAATAAATTCATCACAGTATAGTGGAATTTGTTTTTGTATTGATAGATTGATGAGTATGTTGATGTCATTTTGTAATAACAAATCAGATTTCACTATTGATAAATTCAGGGTTGATTGGATTAAATGACATCTGACCTCACAGGTCGTAAGGTCAGAGAGACTATTTCCTGTCGTAGATAGAAGTCAATGGTGATGTTGTCGCAGATAATGACCATTCAGGTCTGCTTTCTGGACAATATACCTCGGCCATAATCTCCATAATATCTTGTGTTGTTGTTGCTTCCATATCCTAAGGTTATCTTTCCTGCTGGCAATGTGGTATCTGGTTATTATGATTTTAACCTCAGAAGACTTACATTGCCTGTTTTTACTGCTATACAGTACATGTTCACTTTATCTAACTCACATGAAGTTTTACAAGAAAAAGTGTTTAAAATGTTTATTATGTTTGGATGTTTTAGAGCAACACAGTATGGACAGTCGGCCGGATAACATTCCAGGCTTCGAGGTGGATCATCTGGCCACCTATACCTCAAGATCAGGTAAGAATTGGACAGGTTTATAAACCAAAACTACAGGTAACATGCTACAAACTACAGGTAACAGGCTACAAACTACAGGTAACAGGCTACAAACTACAGGTAACATGCTACAAACTACAGGTAACATGCTACAAACTACAGGTAACATGCTACAAACTACAGGTAACAGGCTACAAACTACAGGTAACATGCTACAAACTACAGGTAACATGCTACAAATTACAGGTAACATGCTACAAACTACAGGTAACATGCTACAAACTACAGGTAACAGGCTTTTCTACAAACTTAAGATTTTGTACAAACAAGAAAAAGTAACTCTCCAGTAAATAGACTACTGTTTTAACTATTGTCAATTGTCATACATTTATGTCAGAAAAAAATGAATTTGAATGTAAGTTTTTGAAATATATTGATTTGTGTTTATACAATTTACCTTTAATGTATACATATTTTAATGGTCAGTCAGTTATCATTGGTCTTCCTTATAATTCACCATTTTCAGATGTAGAACATAATATTTAGTTAGGATGAATGCTATGTATTAGGATTAGAATAGAGTTAAGTAAATTAGGTACGACAGTTTGACAGAAAAGATAATGCTTATCAAGTCGTTGAAACATTATCTGCCATAAAACTGCACTGTTGTTTAAGGAACATGTGTGAATTAATGGTTTCTGTCTGTCAGGCCCCATGAGTGTGGAAGATGGCCTGAGAAAACTGAAGCACATGGAGAACACAACTGGCATCTGGACCATGAGATGTGAGATGGTCGTGGAGTCCAGAGACATTGTCATCATAGACAAGGGTAACGGGGTATGTATTTTTATAGATAAAGGGCAACAGAGTATGTATCATCACAGACAGCGATAACTGGGTAGGTATTGTCATGGGCAAAGGGCAACAGGGTCAACATTGTCATATACATGGGTAACAGGGTTATGTCATATAGACAAAGGGCAACAGAGTATGTATCATCACAGACAGCGATAACTGGGTAGGTATTGTCATGGGTAAAGGGCAACAGAGTCAACATTGTCATATACATGGGTAACAGGGTCAACATTGTCATATACAAGGGTAACAGGGTTATGTCATAGACAAAGGGCAACAAACATTGTCATATACATGGGTAACAGGGTCAACATTGTCATATACAAGGGTAACAGGGTTATGTCATAGACAAAGGGCAACAAGGTCAGTAAATGTCGGATACAAGGGCAACAGTGATTGTATCATTAGAGACAAGCGCAGTAGGGTTTTAACATCATAGACAAGGGCAGTCAGGAGGGTATTTTCACAGACGATAGCAATGGGACAAGTATCAGCATAGGTAGTCACGGAGATAGGTGCCGGCATAGACGAAACCAAGGAGGTCAGTATTATTATAGAAAAAACGTAAACAGTCACATGACCAAATCACGAAAGTTCACCTGCCAACAGATTTCATTCTGCAGTCAAGATTGTCAGATAGATAACATGTAACGGTGGCCAGTCTATTTGATTTGGAAGAAAGACACAAAATTTCTTGAATGTGCTTTCAGAGTTTACGAATTGTTTAGATGAAATTTAAAAAAAAAAATTGTTTTTGTGTGACTGTTCGTAAATCTATTTCTACTGGAATGCTAATTCTTATATACAAATATTTCTGTACTATTTGGTTATCAGCTCACTAGTGCAAAGGAGGTAAGAGTTGGAGCTTTCCACTGGGTTTCATGTCACAGTGTTGCCTGATCCTTTCTGTATCAGATGATATCTTTAGCATGATCGTAAGCACCTTTTCAAATATGGGTGCTATAAGAGTTCTTTGATAACTAGAATGGTGGTTTTGTTGTTGTAGCAATATTACTTAAGGAACATGGAGAAAATTGGCATGAATTACACTTTAGTCATTTTTATTTTCTGTCCGTAAATGTTCTAATATTTTCCACCAGATTTTGATGAATTCTTCTGATAAGGAATACTTCCACCAATTTACTTACAGGATTCAACATAGTTTTATTTCTACTTGTCCTGATTTGATGGTCTGTCCTTGAATTTTATGCAATTCAAAAAACATGTTAGTATTGATATAATGGTAAAGCTGATACAGAGAGGGTAGTGTTGCTTAGTAATGTATAGCAAGTAGAATGCTTTAACAGCATCTGTGAGACTGATCAAGTCTTTATCACTGACTATAGGACACCAGACTGGGTTAATCACCATAACACTGAAGCAGCTCAACTTGTTAGGCTAAATGTAACACAGGTACAGCTTCAGCCTATTGTCACAACTTTTGGAACAAGCTGTTACTACCAATCCTGGCTTTCTGATCGGTGGAAATATGCCAACAGGTTATCAGTGACATCTAGCGGCAGTCGAATGCTGTAAACAATGCGGCCATTTTTCAAAAATAGTATCATGGATGTATTCTCTTGCTATGGGAAAATGAAGCATTATACTAAAAACTTACCAAAATTGACAGACTAGGTTTTCACGAAACTGTTGAGATTTACGTTCAACATACTAGTATTGCTCTGGTGTTTTATTTGTCCCCAGTAAAGGATTTTGTAGGTCTTTAACTATTTGTTAGACTCTGAGTGTCCTACACTAACTCCGAGACATAACATAAACCTTCTGTCCTATCTGCAATCGTCAAATTTTGTGTGTGCGAGTGCACAAGGGATGTTGAAGTGTGGCTAATTAATCTCAACTGTACTGTCACACTGTTGCAAAGTTACGGCCCTTGGGTCAACTTACATTACATTTCATATTCTCTGTCACTGTTCCTTTTAAGATGGCAGGTTAGAGTGTTTTATACTGAGACATAAAATTTATAATTAGGTTTTTTTCTCATAAATTTGATTCAGAGCTTGGAAACTATGGATTGCTTAAAGTTCTCTGCTTTATCTGCATGAAACTATTATACTAATATTAGATCACTCAGTTTTTTCAAACTATCAAGATATTTTTTCTGTCTTGAAATTTGTCTCTCTTGAGAATTTTTGCAATTTTGAAACTTCTTATTTCCTTTTCAATAATGAAAATTGCAAAACTAATACACAGTAGAAATTGGAAAGAAATTTTTGTAGTGATAATTTCATCATCATCTTTTTATCTGGTATTCATCAAATCAAACTTCAAGAATGTCTTTTTTGCAAAAAAAAGGGGGTTTATGTATGTGTTGCCCAACATCAGTAGTTTAGTTACTAATGTAAGTAATTGTCGGGATGAAACTAGACTAGTTATAAGTTGAATAATTGTTTCACATCTGTGAACACATGTTTCACTACTGTGTGAACACATGTATGTAAAAGCTCCTCCTAACTTGTGTTTTTACAGGAAGAACAAGAGAGATTCCCATTACAAACTGTACTGGAGCCAACAGCTGTAGTGGATGATAAAAACCATGAGGTTTATTCCAATCTCATCCTGTTCACAGTGAAGGAGGACCCTAGAAACAAATACTCACCCACAGACATGCACATCTTCCAAAGCACAGACAAAATGGTAGGTGTGAGGTATACACATTTTCGCTGTAGTTTTCAGATATAGAAGAAATGTCATTCAAATTATGGCTTCTAAGAGTATGTAATCCCAGTATTAATCGGTTTTTGTCCATTATGGCTACCACAAAAGTTGTTTAGAATACTCTATTAATGCTCTGTTATTTTCTACAGTGTCTTCTCCATTATTCCATAGCCTTCATTTTCTTGTAGATTTTGATCAAAATTTGTGTAAAGGTCAAATATTGAGATACATATATCTTAAAGTTCTAAAATTTTGTTTTCATTTATTTAATTTGTGTAATATACTTCACAACTCATTTAAGTATTGGTGATGTGCATTCAATTATTGATTAAAAATTTTCCTCACTAGTATAAGCTTCAGTTGTTATATTTCTTGATATCTAATTTTAATGACTTTATACCTTTATAGGCACCAAATATTGTAGATGAAATATTGGCAGCCAAGGAAGGTCGTCGACGTCCAAACTACGGGTAAGATAGTTATTTTATGGGACCAAGCTGTCCTCAATATTCCCAGGATGTTGTGATATTAACTATCAACAATCTTTCATGTTATATGCATTTCACAACTAAGATCAATCTGTATTTAAAAGTTGATACAAGAAGAATGGTGTTCTAGCAATTAGTACATAGTACATTGTATGCAATGGGCCAACAGTGAAAAAAATGCCTGATATTTTGTTAGTCCAATACAAAAGTTTTATTGTGCTTGGTTGATGCACAGTTTTCCTCTTTGTAAGAAATATAAGGCTTAAAAGGTATTGGCATTGTTGTCAATATATATATATTTTTTTTTGTAAAAGTTCAAAACGGACTTTGGGGTACATATAGATGTAACTAAAAAATAAATGGTTTCTTGCTAGAAGTTGTATAGGGACTCTAAAGTTACACCTCTTTTATATATGTAATCAATTCTTGTTCGAACAATAACTAAAATTGTTTGAAGAAAATATTGATGGGACTAAACTGTCAATTACTGAAGTATTTTGGAATTTTGACTTCTTTGTAACGTCTCCAAAAAGGAAGTTAAACATGAAAACAATTTTGTTAACTTCCTCTTGACTATTGTCCTTAGTGGACTAATACACCCAAATTTTACCATACTTGACAGAATTAAACTTCTGTTTCTCATTCGAACTACACAAAATTTATGGGATATTCTAATGAATAGCATATAGCTTGGAAAAATCTTAATTAAACGTTTCTGTGTGTTTGGAATTTTTTATCAAAAATATCCAACGTCCTGTAAATTTTCCATCGTCTGATGTGTAAAGATGGGAAGTTCATCTGGCAGTGTTAGTGATTCACTTAACGCTGAAAATGGTATATATCATTGTTTACAATATTTAAATTCCAGTCCAAATGGTGTACCTCCAAGACCTCAAGGCCCAGCCCCTAATCCTCCTTATGGTGAGTATTCATTAAAGACAATCTACTGAAGACTTTTTTATCGCCTAATTTTGCCTGGATTTCTTTACCCTGTACAGCTTTGATAAAATGTAATGGTCACACTACCATAGTTAACTATTTTTGTCAAATCTTAATTTTTACACGTTATTTTTTCCTTGATTTGATTGTCTGATGATTTGAGCATGTGTCTTTTCATAGCATTTTCCACTGTCCGGATCCAAGTCTTTACGTGTTTTCATTGCATGTGAATTTGAAGAGACGTTGACGCATCACTTTTCTCAATTCATTTCAAATTTCTTTATCTTTTCTAGTATGTAGCATAGAGTAGTCTTTCCTTTCAGTGCTGAATTGTTATCATTGTAGATGGTTTAGATTGATTAAACATTGTTGGTACTAATATGCTCAATTTTTCCTGCATTGTGCATTTTCATTAAGGAATTGTGAAATGGACCAAACTTTTTTAACACAATTCAAACTGGATATCTCAGAAGTTCTTAAATTCAAGGAGTCGTTGGTGATTAAAATTCAAAATACTTTTCAGGAATTTATGTGGAGTACAGGAGTTCTTTAATACTAAAAGTAGTTCTTTCTGGTTTGTGAAGATTTCGGTATTCTTAATTTGTAAGATTTTTTGTTTGTTTTGTTAATTACATATAATATATTGCATGCAATATATGCAATGTATTTAAGAGTTCGGTTCATATTTCAAACCTGATCTGATTCTCATAGACATTTTAACATAGATTTTACTCACCTGTTATAAAACTTTTTTAAAGGTGGGAGTCGTTGGATTGGTAAAAACATGGGCAAGTCTTACTTTAGCTATTCCCCCGCGGGTAGGTCCTACCCAGGCGGTGGTCAGCAGTATTCTTCTGCCCGTGGCAGTTACATAGGTACGGGCTCCAGATAAAGGTCACTGACCCACCCTTCGACTGATGCCAAGCACAGATGTCCAGGAAACATTTGAATTTCAAATTCTAATATTGTATAGTTGTTAAAATTCATGGGGTTATATTTTGCAGCTGTCCTGGTTGGGGCTACTTTACTGGGTTTAAATTTCATGCATGTCTATACATTGGTATCCAAGTGTACAGGCATATAATTAGATACTGTTTCTCCGGCAAGTGCTTGGTGGGTATTTAATTTTATGCTATATTTAATGATTGTGGATGTAGCAAAATTAAATTTCCCATGAATATTACCAACTATACAGTATGTATAAATCTGAACGTTCAAAACCTTTGCAAACTTGGCTTTAGAAACGTTATCTTTAAAAACAACAAATGAAAAATATTTTGATGAACTTTTCATTTTAGTTTTTACTATTTCCATTAAGAATTTCAAAAATTGGAAATGTGTTGAAGATTCATATGTTTCCTGGTAAGAATTTGCCTGTTGGAGTTGATCAATGGTTATTCTGCTGTCTTGGATGGTTAGTCTGAAGGTGGTGATGACCCTTCTGAATAAGCTAGTTAATTAGCATGTGTGGGAGTATACAGGGTCCTGTATCCATATATATATCATATTCATGAATATAATATTATTCATAAAAGACTAATTGAAGAGTGCATTTGAATACTGCTAAAACTATTTTGTAATAATTTATGCTCATTTTGACAATAGATATTCAATAGTGCTAATATGCATATTATCCTTCACTTGACTTGTCAACCACTGTAATTTTTATATTCGTACACATAAACAACGATGTATTGATTTAATTTCTGATAAAAACACAAGCTTATTAACGTAAACTTTAAAGTATCATGATATCGAACCTAATTTGTTCTAAAACTTTGATTAACATGTAACTGTTTATGAATTGCATTGATAAACATGTAACTGTTTATGAATTGCATTACAATGATAACAGCTAGAACCTAGTGTTTGGACAGTATGAAAGGTTTATAATAGAAATTTTTCTTCATGATGACATATATTACAGAAATTTCCTGATTAGTTGATACCATATTCATAATATTTGTAACATGTCATAAGTTGATGTTACCAGTAAAGTATGCACATTACCTCCCTTAGTCTGGACAATTTTCTTTGCTGCATGCAATCAGGTCTTGTTTACGTTTTCGCAAAAGCAGATTTATTTAAGGTCCACCCATTTCTGTAGTCATTTTTCATAATAGTTATTATGGATATTTTCCTAGATATTTTGTGTCTTTTATTTTAGAGATTCCTGAAATTATTTACGATGAGCATTTTACCTGTTAATCTTACTGTGAGAATGGAGAGAGTTTTTCCAGAACGCGAAGCTTTATAATCTTTATGGACCTGGTTAATCATTGATATTGTCAGGAACACTGTTAACAACAGACTTATAAGAAAAGGCCCAACTTTTAAAAAAGTTGGTCGAAATTAGATGAGTTATTGACTATAAAACATTAAGAATCATATAAACTTACATATAACCTTGTTCCTGGGTCAATGGTACATCTTTTGTGTTTCTACTCATAATATTGCTTTACCCTCTTTTAGATAGATCACAATATCTATCTTTTCTATGTGTATTGCTCTTCTAAACCATATAAAAAAAACTTAAGTATAATATAAATCACAGCTTTGTGATTTTCTTTGACCTTTTCAAAGCTTTCCTGTTGTTGATCTTAAGCTTGGTATTTTAGAATTCAAAATCCTATATATTTTGTACTTAAAATGCTTATCAGCCAGTGTCAGTCATGCACGATATGAATTTGAACGTGGAAGATTTTTCATTAAAAAAATTATATTATTTATTTGATTGAAAATGTTGGAATTACGATGATTATTAACATTTTAAAGCATCATTAATTTTTCACCAAAACACAACAAATAACAGGAAATTTCCTTCATACAGTAGGTTTAATTTCTCAATTAAAATGGTACAATTTAGAAAAGTATGTATCATTTGTTCTAGGAATGGATTAATTGCTGGAATTATGTCAATATTTTTCTGTACATATTATGGCAATCCTCCCATCCTCGGTACCCCTACGTCATCAATTTAACCTACCGTGACATATAAGCTGTTTGATGGTACTGGTATACTATATACAGCATGGTAACATTACAGTCAGCCTAATAATACTCTTATTTTGTTATATCATTTTGTTATCTCATTAAAGTAAGTGAAATAAATTTGACAGCTAGTAGATGGTTATCTATTATTAGATGTAATTATTCATCATTTTCATGTTGATGGAAGTTATTGAAGATTTTTCTTCACACCTGATGATGTGTTCACATTAATGCTGTAAATGTTTAAATATAAATGTACATGTTGTTTTCCTTTTTAATTTGAGTTGTAAATTGAAGTTTGACTGACAGGCTACATCTACATGTTGTATTTTGATGCTGTAGATAAGTGGATTATTAATAAAGAAGTGCTTGTTTTAGACCCTCCTCAGTCTCAACAAGTCATGAACAACTATCAGTCCTCCTCCAAGACTTGGGTTGACCAAGATTTCCAGAATGCCTCCCTACCAGATTATGGTGGAGGTAGTACTGTGGCTAACTATGCGAGTTCCAGTGAGTCCATAAATTGCCGTTTCTAAGGGCATGTATCTGTAGAGGTGTGGTGTGTCAGATGTAATCGGTGGAAGACATGACTAAGATGCCAGAAGCATTAATTAGTAGCATGTTTCATGAATGTCTCGAGTCTCTTGTGCCTGCTGTACGTGAATTTGGATGTTGATTTGGCGACACATTCTGGTATATTTGTAGATTTGTTCAACGTGTACATTGAGTGTCTTGTTTTGTGTGATCAGCATGTTACCAGCATTTTTAGGCTTGTAAATGCCTTAAATGCTTCCATGAATGTCTCTGGCTGGCTTTTTGTCGGAAATTTGATTGTGAAACTGTCAGCAATGTAAGCTGAAGAGCTCAATGCAGAATGTATTAAGTATAGAGGGTAAAGGGTTATCAGCATTGTTCAACAGATGTTCCTTGTGCTGTGTTTGGAGAAATTGGAATGCATGTTTATATCATGACTGTTAATAGCACACAGCTGTGTTAGGCGCAACTATTTTGCATGTACAATTGATATATAATGTAACAAACAGGTTTGTCTCCAACCTGTACAGGTATTACTTTTTTCTAGATCAGCTGGATGTTTGTGTTTGGTCTAGATCACAATGATGTTTGCATTGCTAAGGCAGTATCATCAAGCATTGTTAAACCATTGTAATAGGGTGTTGGTTGTGTTAGAGGAATGACATAATATTTGGTATAAATCCTCTGGTAGTTGATATGTTGGCATGTTGTAGACTTGTTCACTGTCACCAAAATTGAATGTCTATTTCACCATATGTGACATTAATTGTATATGACAATTGCAAACTGATAATGGTTACTATATATTTAATACATTGTATATTTTAACAAAATAGTATCTAGCTAACACGATGAGATAATACAAAAATAACATTGGTTTTGCAACAAACAAAAGGAATCTTAAATTCAGGGTAAATATTTTAATAACTACAAGAATATAGACTAAACAAGTTCAAGACATCAATGTTGTCTAGTACTGCTTTGTTTGCCTGTGAGAGGTCAAGGTTCTTAATGACATTTTAACTCTGATTTTTAGAATATTAAAATACCTTTCTATTTTATGAAGAAGATGAAATCTATTGCTTCAATATTTTAAAGTATTCTTGCTCCTGAATAACCATAATGTTCATAAAATGACATTTCATGTATAGATTCAGCAACCATCATTGAATGCAGTATTGGAAGTAGAATGATGATCAAGCTTGTTTGCTATTCTTTCACTGCCAATTCATATAAATAATAGAATGATGTTTTTATATAGCAGTGTATGATTTTTACCTGCAAGTACATTATGGCATTCTGTATTTGAACTAGACTCATTTGACCCCTCACTTCAAAATTCTGGTCCATATGTCCAGCTTGTCAGCATGCGTAAAAACTGAATTGAAGGGAAAATCAGTCATCTAAATACATCCAAACTGTCTGAGATGCAAATGAAAAATGAGTTATGTTGCATGTTTTTTTTTTTTGTTTTTTTTTTACTAATATAGATTTAAACAAAAAGTTCCCTTGCCTAAGTATTTGCTTAAGTACTGTATATAATGTATGTACAAAAGATAGGGAAAATGTTGGATTGATGTACATAACTTTTGAATTTCCACAGTCATTTAAGATTACTAGACACTGTATCTTTTCAGATGATAGATATCACTTGTCTTTAAATTGCTATTTAATCTTGACAGAGGAAGACCTAGGAAAGTAGTATTTACAGTTAACCATGTTTACTAGTTTACCTGTACTGAATGTGATTACCTATCCACCTGTACTGAATGTGATTACCTATCCACCTTTATTAAATATGGTTACCAGATTATCAGTACTTATCTGTACTTATTACAGGTGTGAGTCAGAGACAAGGCCTGAGTCAGTCTATGAACCCACGTGCATCTTACTTGCCAAACATGGATGACTCCGGACAAAATGAGGTGCTGGAGCGTGATGTGGTATGTATCACCTTCAGCTAACCTTTTTAAATACATTATACATTGGGTTTTTGAGCTAGTGAAATTAAGAAACTTATGAATTTGTTTAACTTTGTGAATAATATTTAAATATTTAGAGAGTTTAAGTCATAACTGGAATTACATTGAAAGATTCATGGCAAAATTATCATTATGTTTATAGATTTGTTTCTCGCCAATAACTCTCATTGCTGTTCTTGTTTTTTTCTTTTTGTAGCAATTACTGAATTGCTGCTTCGATGACATTGAGAGATTTGTCTCTCGACTTCAGGCAGCAGCTGAGTCATACAAAGAACTTGAAAGACGCAAGCGTGAACGTAATGCCAGAAGACACAAAACACGTGGAGGAGGTATAAACATAGAATATCTTTCTTTTTTGATTTTCTTAATAATGAATGAAGAAATGATAACTACATGTATTAGAATAATCAGTTTCTGTCAGTAGATATTAAATACTTCACTCTACAGATTATAATTGTCAAACTTAAGAACAACAATTGCTCATTTCTGGTATACCTTTGTGATAAATAGCTCTAGTAGTCTTTGTTATTGAAATTGCAAATTTATCTTCTCCAGAACCAAAATATGATTGTATCTTATTGCTACAGAAAACTGACCTAGTTAAAATTATCTTTGTGTTTTTAGAAGGATTATTGAATATGAAAGCAAGACCACCACCAGCAGAAGACTTTGTTGACATTTTCCAGAAATTTAAATATGCCTTCAATTTGTTGGTAAGTCTTTACAAACTCAGAATAATAGTCCTTTGGTATATTATCATTAGACGTTTGACCAATGATAGAAAGGTTAAAGCTTATGTGAGATGTCACTCAAAAGTATTTATAGCTCTGGTTCTAGAAAACAAACTGATATACTTCTTATTTTTTTTATTACAGGCCAAACTGAAGGCACATATTCATGACCCTAATGCACCAGAGCTGGTTCACTTCCTGTTTACACCCCTCAGTCTGATCTTTGAGGCAAGCCGTGACCCGATACATGGAGGAGCTGATTTAGCCAACCACGCCCGTTTCCCTCTTCTTTCTCCTGAGGCAAAACAACTCCTCCTTAACTGCTTGACTTCTAAAGAACTAGAATTGTGGCAAGCCCTGGGGATTCACTGGACAACAAACAAGTGAGTTATCTCCCTTGTATAGCATGTTTTTGTTACTTTTAGCAATTCACATTTGTCAGGTCAGTTGTGTAGAAGATATTGGAATAGTTCGCGGTCTCTATACATTAGATATTCTGTATAAGTTAGGGTAACATTAGTGATAACCAGTTGCTTTATGCTGTTTCCATTGACTGTTATTTTCACTTCAGGGACGAGTACAATGGACCTATGGAACAGTACAACCCTCGATTTTTCAATGGTTGGACACCTGCTCCTCCAGTGTCTTCAGAACGCATGATGATGGAGGCTGCAGTCAGCAATATGGGTCATCAGATTGAACGACGGACAAGGGCTTACCAATCCCCTGATGTAGGTTCAACTTGCCTTTTGTAATTTTTCTATGATTTAAATCATTTTTGATCTATTTTAACTCTGGTTTTTATCTCTCTTTATTCTTAAAATCTCTGTTGAAGTCCAAATAACAGTATCTTTATTGTGACTTGATTCTAGAATGTCCGTGGTTGAGTGAGTTATGGGTCGATGCCGTGGTTGAGTGAGTTATGGTTGGATGATATCTCTCCTGACAGGATATAACGTTATGTGTTAATTTAGGAAGTCAAAGTCTTACAAAGCAACATTTTATAGTAACGTCATGTACTGAACAGAAACATAAAACACAATTCTTTAACTGGAATTCAGGAAAAGGAGACAAAATTACAACCTGTGCCACCTAATTTTATCTCAGCTAAGAAATTTAATAATTTTGTTAACTATTATCATTCTTGGATTATATGAAATGTCCCTTGGGAAGAGAAATATCATGCCTACTTTGTTGTTATAGGTTGATGACATTATGATGCCGTACCCCCGACCTGACGGACGGAGTTTCAGACCTGTGGAGCGACCTGACGAGGGCGAGGATATGTATGCAAGGTCAACAAAGCCGTCATCACAGCCTCCACCAGGGGCCATTCCCAACACTAACGTAGCACAGTACCAGGAATATGTAGAGAAACACATTGATAGGTGTGGGGCACGTCTTTACTTCTTATCCCAGTGACCATCACTCATAAAGATACAGCAGTGTTAATAGAATTCATAATTGATTGAGATATTGTTACAATGTTAAGGTATTTCTAAAATTTGTCTTTATATATATACAACCTGGAAACAAAATTTACTAAAAACTAGTTCAAATTTTATTTGAAAAATGTCAAATTTAATGCCAGAAGAGAGAATTCTATACTTGTAGTAACAAGTTCTTCACATTTGTAGATTTATTTTGAAATGAAATTAATATTCTAAATTTCTTTTTATGAAAAGTTTATAAATGCTTGATGTATTTCCATTTTTGAAAAGCTTTCCAAGAAAAATGTTTAACACTGTTGTATTGTGAGTAAATTTCTGAGTGTTAGGACATTGGTCAGTTGGCATGAACCTCCTCAGCATTATTTCTACACCTGTGTTCAGATCCACTGAGAAAAAAGAAAGGAAAACTAAAAATCATTTATTTTAAAAACATTTTGAGTAAATGAATAGAAAAAAAATAAGTGACTGTTATTTGCCTTCAGTGCCGTTAAAAATCATGTATTCATTATAATTTACTGCAAAGTTATGGTATTGGTTAAAGCAAGTTAGCAAGAAATCTGAAGATATCTGAGGGCACGTTAATGATTTTATATGAAAACATTCATTTCACCTATTTTAATCAAGTCCTAGCTCAGGATCATTTACAAATCATTAATGTTTGAATATGGGAGGCTAGTTTTGTTGTTGAGGAAGGTCGTGTATAAACAAATTGATTCCGCCGCAACACACATTTTATTATTGACTCAGACTTAATTTATTTCTCGCACTGAAAGGAACATACGTCCTGCTGGAATTGAAGAATTTGGTTGTTTTTTTTTTAGTGGAGGGGGATGGGGCAAGCAATTTATTTCTAGTTCCCACTTTTAATATTTATTAAGTTTGAGTCCAAATAAAATGCGTATGTTGTCGTCATCAAGTTCTACATTCACTGAATGTACTGAGATAATACCAAAACAATTTCTAATTTTGCTAATTCGTTGTGCATTTGGGTTGTTCAAAATTGTAACATTTCTCAGTTTCACCCAGTAACTGTGATTTCAAGTTTGATTATTAACGAATTTCATGTTTTGCATATGACTTTATACACATCTAAGCCACAAGGTTAAGGTGAGATTAGCAACTACAGATAATGTGGTTATGTGAACAATCAAAATTCCATTTACATTATTTTTATTTTTTTTATTTCATTTTTTTTTTTCTCAATGTGTTAATTTTTCAACAATTTATTATTTTTGTGACTGGAGAAACATTCAGGTATTATTATATATGTATATATTATAATATATGTCACAAAGTAACACCTTTCAGAATGGATGGTTTTACTTGTCTCTGTAATGTGTATAGTATTTATTGGTGAAATGTTTTCTGCATATTAATATTGGTAATGCATGTGTACTCTACTTCACAAACTTTCTGGACTCAAATTTGTAGTGTGTTTGTAATTTTGATCAATTCTCGATCAAAAGATTATGAAATCCAATTTTGCTTTAAACCCAGGATTTATATACCTGTATTATGTTTTAGTCCAGATTAGTTTAAATGCCTGTACTTATTAATTTACCTAAAATAATTACCAGGTACTGCATTTAGATAATGAAATAAGTATTTGGATTTTTTCACTACAAGGTCCAGACTGTTTTCCTGTATAACTATCAATATTGCTCTCTGTATTCTTTATATACATGGTTGGTGGCTTGAGATTGTAAGTGACTAAAGTTAACACTTCCTGATACAAAAAAAAATTAAAACTCATTACAGTTATAACAGATTTCATTATCACACTAAACTCAATCCATTGTGAATTATAACTTGTTTTTATGATTAACAATTTAACACAGCCTGGGACTTCAGTGGAACCTCACTGGTTTAAAAATTGATTGAAGCATAGCAATGAAAAAAGAAATGAAAAGAAGAAAGTGGATGAAGAATATTAATGAAACTTCACTACTAATTGAAAATAGTTTCTAGGATGACAACCTTTGCAGAATTCAATATTAGATAGAAGTGAGGTTGTACGTATGCTTTGTCCTACATGATAATCAAATTTACATACAGGATATATGGGGGCTATACCTGGTACTGTTGTTTACATATGTAAACATACTATATGTTATCAAAAACACTGACAAAATACAAGTGTGATAACACGAAAACTGAAGAAACACATTCTGCAACTCTAAACACCTGAAGAAATGGCAGGTTATACGAGGAATGTATTAAACTGTTTGTTTATCAAAGGAGAAAATTAGGATGGAGTGTTTGAAAAAAGGTGTATTTAATGTTGCAGAATCTGTCTCTTTTTGAAAAATTCAGATTTTATCCCAGTTCATCTTTGAACATGTTAATTGAAGCCACTGGTTACAATAATGCTTTATTGAATTCATTAATATCAAGTAATCATCAGAGAATATCAAATTCACAAATTAATTTTTTTTAAATAATTATTTTTTCAATAGTGCTTTGGTTCACAGCATTTTTGGATCGGAAACATTTGCTTATCTAATCTTTGCTTTATCATTCGTTAAGGAAATACCTATTTCTTCAATGTTGTTATATATGTCATATTGCTATATTTATGGTGTATAATTCTGGTCAACAGAAACAAAGGAATCCACCAGTCATCACGACCCAGTCCGACCCCGGCCAAACCAAAGAGTAGACAGGAAGAAAACCTACAGTTTGCTAAGGATCTACAGGGACAAAACAAAGTGTAGGTTACTTAGTAAAAGATAGAATTGTTAGCGGCCTACCACCAAAATAAATAATTATTTGTTTGTAAGAAATAAGGTCATAATATCTTAATCATAATAAAAGATAGAATTGTTAGTGGCCTACCACTAAAATAAATAATTATTTGTTTGTAAGAAATAAGGTCATAATATCTTTATCATAAGGACCAAGGCCAGAGTTTTGTGTACATGTAAAGAAAGTTTTGGTTTACACATCATGGGACTGCAAGTTCATTAGGATCAAAATATGTTATCTTTAGCTGTGAAATGGTGGACTTTAGGACAGACTTAAGTGAAAATATTTTTCTCACTCGATTATGCCTCTTGCTGCATATTGTTTTCAAGAAAGTCTGCATGTGTTTTTCTATTAAATGCCATAGAAAAATACAATATTTTTTTTTCACTGTATGTGTTTTCCAGAATGTATGAGATAGTTCATGAGCGAGAAGGCCGAAATGAAAAGGAAATTACTGTACAGAAAGGAGACATTGTTGAGGTAAGGCACTAGAATTAATATAAATTATTAATTTAATATAATAAAAAAATTAAAAAACTTAATAAACTTGAATGTTAACATTGCCTTTTGCCTGCTACATCTGGTGATATCATCAGCTCCTGTTTGTTGTCTGTGATGTGGTATTTAGAATCATAATAATAGAATTGTAAAATCCTTGTTTAAAATGAAAACACTTTACATCTCTGCCTATACAAGCAGTACCAAAATAAATTGTATTTACACTATTTTGAACACAGAGTATATTTTAAGTTCACCTGGTCTGGAAAAAAAATTCTGGTGTGTAAATAAACTAGGTATTTGATGAAGTTTTATAAACCTGTAGATAAAAAAAGAAAAATACATTTACCTACAGCGAATACATGTACCTAGATTCAGGTAAGAAGTTTAACATCATGTGTATGAAGATGTAAAACTCTCTTATGTTTCAGTCCTACAAATCTATATATAAAATGTTTTCAGGTAATAGACAGCAGTCGTAATTGGTGGAAGGTGAGGAACTACTTAGGCCAGCAGGGGTATGCCCCCTACACAATAATGAAGGAATATACCCCCTCCTCAAACTTCGGAGCTGACCGGGTAAGCCAGCACTTCAACTTGGATATCTAGACTGTAGGTCAGGTCCCCAAATTTCACATGTAACATGTCTGAGTTCCTTAACGGTCACTGCCCCAAGGGTCATATGACCTTTGTTTGTAACAACTCAACCGTACTGGCACTTGGACCATAAACATGTACTTCTTCTATTCTGAAACAGTCTTAAACGTCTGCTTTAAACATTGTCAGCCAGTGTTCAGAAAATGTATCACACTATAAACTGACATTATTAAAACTCAAGGCTACGTACTGAAACAGTTCTTCAAATTATTGCTGTTAGCATGTGAAACAATATTACTGGAAGGTACATCTGTCCGCTAAAAATATATCGGAAACAGAATATACAAAAATTCATGTGTTGTCATTATTGCTATATAGGTAAAATTTTTCTATCCTAAATTATGTTGTAAGGACCAAGGCAGGTTTCAGTTTTATATTTCTCCCTATCCACGTTAAAGTATGTTACAAGAGGTCAATTTCACAAAGCGTATACATTGCAGACAGGGTAATAGAGGTAGGACAAGGAAATTAATATTTCAGATACTTTTCATACTTTGGTTTTATTAGAGGTCTTGACTTCTAAGAAGCACAAAGTTGTTGTACTCCTTCAAGTTGTAAGCATTCTTCTGCAATAAAAACCTATAGCACACAGACATAAGGTAGCTATGTATAAATACAGATTAACATACTCTGTAAACATACTCCAGCTGAAATACTTTTTTAGCACTTTTGCACTAGCTTTAGATATCTATGGTGTTATGTTTGTTTTCTGCAACATCAATTTTTTTTTTTTCAAATCTAAAAACGGGGGAAAAAAAGCTATTTAATACGATTGTGCTAAATTGCTTGCTGTATTTGTTGAACTGTCCAATTAAGTTTTTGAATTTATAATCAGATTTCAAGGACTGTGTTCTAGAATTAACCTTCTTCTCAGACACTATGTACTAAGAATTAACCATTCTTTTCAGACAGAATTAAAAGTGGAAAACTTTTGAAATGCAGACATGATATGAATCAATATTTCAATGAAACAGGCTTTGCTACCAGCAAATTCATGAAAAATATATTTTAATTGAGTTTTTTTTATCTGCATCAAACATTGCAATAGAATTAATATTTCAATGAAAGATGAACTACATGTTGACAAAAAGGTCAAGTGCTCTGTCATTCAGAAATATTTCACCTTTTCATCCCTCAACCAGCACAATGGTTCTCACTGACCTTTATCTTGTCCAGTCCATTGTGTGTTAATGGGGGTGAAATTGTGAAATTCTTAGATAATTTTTGTTGTTGTGTGCATTGCAAATGGATAGAATTAACCTAGTTATGGGACTATTTTAGTTGTGCCATAAAAACCTAAAACATTAGAGACTTTCATTACTGACCATTGTTAACATTTTAGAATACATGTTCTCTTCATTTCAGAATTGTTTATGTGTAAAGGGCAAATATGTACAATTTTGCATAGTTTAAAAACATTTTTGGTGATAGAATAATTTCAAAAGCTTTTTCACTGATATATTTTGTATAGAATGTAATTCTGTAAATGTTGCCATATCTCATTTTCAACTTTCGCTTATTAAAAAAAAAAAGTAACAAATATGCGAATAGTGATTTTCTTTGCTTTTTAAGTTTTCTGTTGAAAGTGGCCATTGCTTGTTTGATGATGTAACAAGGGACAGACCAATGCTGTTTAACTTTGCTCTGATATGATGATAAATTGTGAAGCTTTATTATTTCGTCAAGGCAACATGTCAATTGTGTTCCCTTTAGGGTACCCGCTACAATAGGCAACACTAGCCCTGACCTGTACTTTGTCAAACCGACCTGCCCAACAGTAAGATCGCCATGGAAACATAGCCTTCGCATAATCTCTCACCTGCCATTGCCTTATGTAACACCTGTTGCTACGGCAACATCCGCCCAGCCTGCTTTACATAGGAGTACAACATGTTATCACACCTTGAATATGAAATTAATCTTCTGCTGTCTCTTCCGATTTTTCATGTGAATCTACATTTTGACAATTCAAATTGACCAATCAAATAAATGTTTACACTTTTTTTTTTCTCAGTGAAAACAACTTGTTATTCAAAAATATATCAGTAGCATGGACAATATAATGACAATCAGAATGCCAACTACCAGGTTATGGGATAAATTCTTGTATTTTTTATAGACCAGTGTTGCCATGCTGCCAGGTAATCAAATAAGATCACTCTCAAAGATATCTGTAGATGCCACTGCCTGCAGCAGTTTTAAATGCTTAAAGTGTTACAAGTCAAATTTATTTTAGTCAGTTGAAGCTGGAATAACGAAGAAAGAAGATGTGATTGGTGACATTAGGCGAATATTTACATTTATCAAAAAGTTGATTCAGAAATGATAATGGCAAAGACAGTAGCTACATCTTGTACCATAACTAACCCACTTAAATGGACCCCAATCCTGGTTGTCATATAATTTTTTTTCTTCTTTTCTCAAATTTTCACATTTCATATTTGGTTGCACCATTTTCTTCCGTCTGAAATGCCTTTATTTGAATTCATTCTTGTTTTTTTATCAGTCAAATGATACAGACCTAATCTTTTTCTTTTTGTTTTATTTTTTTTTTATATTTTGAATTTTTGTCTTCTCTTTCTCTTCTTTTGTTTTATTCTTATCATCTGCTACTCAGCAGATAGATACTTGATCTTTGTCCTATTGTTCAAGTAAAAGAATTATTGAGATTCTCACTATTGGCTGAAGAAACTGATGAAGGATTTTTTGAGGTGCTAGTGTGAAATTTTGCCATTGGCCTGGTAACTCAGTATGTAAATTGTGAGGAGGGTGTTGATAAGTTGAACTCTGTAAATTGTGGGATGGGAAAGATATTGATATGTTGGTGGTAAGATAACTCAGTATGTAAATTGTGGGGAGGGTGTTGAAATATTAGTGGCCTGGTGACTCTGTAAATTGTGGGGAGGGTGTTGATATATTAGTGGCTTGGTGACTCTGTAAATTATGGGGAGGGTGTTGATATATCAATGGCCTTATGATGTTGATGAGTTGGTGGCCAGGTAACCCAGGATGTTGATTGTTGATACAATTGAGAATCAGGAGTGTTTTTAAACTACCATCATTATGAATAACTTTTTTTATGAATTGATGTGTAATGATCATGACTATTAGGAAATCTTATTTTGAATTAAATCGCTCTGATGTAACTATAGTCTCATCGCTATGGTGATTTTCAACCCTTTACAGTACCTTCTCCCAAGAACGCTACAAGTCGCTCCAAACTGATCGCGGGCCAGTCTTTTCTGGCCTGGGATGAAGTAGCAAGTAGGTTGTTGGAACCTGGTCAATGTATTATGACCTATCTAGAGTGGTCAGTAAATGGTCAGTTGGGTCAGGGCAAATTGTCATAGTGATACAAATATCTTTGTTCCTGAAGAAATAATTTTTTCTTTTTTTTTTTAATTGAGATATAAATCATTGTTCAATGTTTCTTCATTCCGAAATAAATAAGATTTATCACTCTTTGTCATGATGCTTGAAAACTATAAAAACAATTAAAATTATTGTTTAACTGTTATATTGTTTAGTTCTAATTGTTCCATAATAATTGTAAGTGAAGATATTAGTAAACCAGGGTGGAAAATCTCTGTAATCAGTGCATATTTGACACCTACCTTATAGCAAGACTCCTACTTTTCTATATCATTGAATACTATTAACAAGAATGCTTTGCAGCATCTTGACTAAAGCTGTCTTAGAAAGATTTGAAATTCACTTGGAAAAATAAGTTAAAACTTAAATATAGTACTTTAAAATGTTAGGAACAAAAAATAAAATTATTAAGCCAAAGATATTACAGATTTGAGAGCAAATCCTGTATATGCTATTACAATTTTGGCCCTAAACCTGATTCACTGACTGTTAGGGAAGGGAAGCATATATTGGGATATGTAAATAGGACTGTATGTAGTTAATGGGTGTCTATAGGAACGTAGGCTGGGTTTTAGATTTGGTTTACTAATGGGGGAAAAGGTAGATTATGTATTTAACAGAAAAACTTGAAATCATTAACATCTTACTGTTATACATACATGTTACTTCTGGTATTAGTAATTGAGAATTGGATTTCTCTTAGTTATGAACCTTAGTTATAATTCTAGACATCACATACGTTTTGTTAACATGCATGGTCTACTAACAGCTTTAGTTTTACACCAACTATATCAATCTGCTAACCGAATATATACAACTTCACAGAAGACAATAACAGACCTTTTGTAAATATATATATATATTTACGAACTGATACTTCTCTCTGGAAAAAGCACAACAGAATCTTTACTAATATTTTTACTGTCTTCAACATTCATTACATACTTAAGTATGTTTAAAAGTCATGCATTAGAAAAACTCCAGTTGTATCTTGTTTGTATGGTTAGCTATTTCTTAACAAATTATCAAATTAATATTTCCCATTGATAATAAACTTATTTTTAATAATATTGTATTTTTGAATAATATCTATGATTTGTGTTCTCACAGAGAAACTCGTGTGATATGTTTCTTTGTTTTTTGCCTCTAAAAATGTTCAGAGGAAATAAAAGTAGATGTACAAATGGTAACTATCTATTCTGGGTTAAACGGGTGGCTGAATCCATCATATGTATAGATATATAATTTCTACAAGGATGTGTTAAAAGTTATATCTGAATCAAGTTTACAATGAGAATTCAAATGTAGTATCATTCCTAGTGTGCGAAAAAGTATATTTATCTACAAATTATAGATTTCTTGATAATCATAGATGAAATGTGATGAATAATGATTAAATGGGAATGTTTTTAAAGACATTAACCCCACCCAGCACTATTGGTATGAGGTACCACTGTAGTACAGGGCATGTATGCATGAGAGTATGGTGGATGGTTATACTAAAACTGCAGAAGAAAGAGTTATCTACCTTTTCTCCTGGAGCTGTATATTACCTAACTCAATCAAGAATTGTTACATGTTTAGGGAGGAATTTTGTTGTTTTGTTGAAATCTACAATTTTGTCAGTAAATTGTTTCAGAAATGAATATGGACAGTTTTAAAGGAGATACATATTACGATTTTTCTGTATTATTTTCTTTTTATTGTTTACTGTTATTACTTATATAAATCATAAGTAGTAAGTAACATTAAATATATTTAATATACCTGTCAATTAAATATCATCTTGGTAATACACACTTCGCTACAGAAGATATACAAGAACTTTTTAATTTCTTTCCTGTTAATTTTTCAGAATGATTTCAATAACAGACACAGTGGAGGCTTCACCAGTTCTATTGCACCGCGCCACAACATCCCCGTACCACCACCCATGCCCCCTGACAACCGTATGGGAGCTCGTAGAGGTGAATCATTGCGCTATTTTTGAGCACTAGGATCAAAGCTATATTTAAATTTGACATAATATACATCACTTCAATGATTTTAGAATATGCCAATGTTTCTTTATAGAAAGCAAGCAATTTTACTTGATTTCTCAGGAATGAATATAATGTTTTATGGTAGTAATTTCCAAGAAATTAATTATTTTTCTCTAATATTATTTAGGTAAAGTTTCATAATTAATTGTTCATAAAAAATCTATAACTAAAATAAATATATATATATATAGAGCAGTCTTTATGAGCAATTAATATATGGTTGTTATTAATCTGAAACAAATTGGATGATCTGTTTTAGTGGTTTATTTACTGCATGGAAAAGTTATGAAATATTTGAACAGGGAAAGTGCAACAAAAATCACAACATTCCAGTTAATGTCATTGTTGTAAATTTAAATCTTTCTACCTTGATTGTATATATTTCCAACCTCAACGGGTGAATTAGTTGTTGCCCAGTTTTTTTTTTCAAATTTCTTTATAGGTACAGGGATATTTTGATATGAAATTTATTTTGTATTTATGAAATTAAATCAACTAATATATTTCATCAAATATTTTGCTGGTATTAATCAAAATATTTTAGTTTGAAAGTTCTTGTTTATTTTTTTTTTCTAGAATTGTTGTTATATTGGTGATGTAATAAATAAGAATTGGGGAAAATCAGAATAATCGTTTTGCTATCACATTTCCTGCCAGATTTGAATTTTGATCTTCACAAAGTTTGATTGACTTTGGTGAAGCAGCTGTTTTACACCCAGCTTTGGATATTTATTTGGTCATTTTCCTAATAAAAAAGAGAATATTTTTTCCCTGATAAGTGCTATGGACAAATTTACATGATGATACATGCATTGTATATAATTAAAGTGATCTGTTGCCAGGACAGCAGCAAACCAATATATTGATTACATTTTAGTATATTTATACATATATATATTTATACACATATTAATGATCCTTAATACATGGTACATATTGGCATATAAGGGATGGGAAGTTACATTGTCACATTGTTTTGCTGCCTGGCACACTGGGATATATTCCATTGCTAGGTGTAAAGAAATTCACTCTATAAAGTTGTATACTTGTCAAACGGAGAATGTTTTTCTTCTCTGAAATTTCTCCCGTTCGTGTTCATTAAAGCTGTTACATTTGTTGTGCAAGTATACTGATAAAGGGAGATAAATCTGTATATAAGACCATAGCCTCAGAGTATTATCCTCTACCAAATTGTTTATTATATATGTCACATTTTATGTACATCATATTTATGTTCGTTTACTACCCATTTCACTGTCAATAATACCCCCAGTACATGATTACGTACAAATAGACCGATATATATATGTTATTATTTGACCTCTTTAGCCATTAGATTTCCATGGTTTGATATGCTGTGAGAAATCAGATTTACTGTTTCCTATGCCAGCCATTCCATCTGTGTTATTATTTAGCCACAGACATTAGGAGATCCTGTGATTCACTAGGACAAAGGAACTTTATAAAAGAGGAGTTTAATCACAGAAAAGTCATGCATTCCATAATACCTCTTTTTTTTAACAGTTTTTTTTGTTTTTTTGCTCCACTTCGTAGATTAAAGAATAGTTACAGTTCATATAGATGGGGACAATATCAAATCTACTGGCTATTAGAATCAAAATTAGTATACTAGGCATGTTCGTACCCATTGATGGACTTGGCAACAGTGCATGTTATGATTGTTATAAAAGAAAAGTTAATTATAAGGACTTAGGGTTAAGAATATTTCTAGTGAAAAAAACCCAGATGATTTTTACTTTGTGTGAATATCATTTCATCTAAGAATTTAAAAATGCTGCACATGAAGGGTTTGTGTGGCTGTAGTTGTATGCAGTTATATTTTCATGTAATTTACAAATACAGGACTGTGATAGCTTTGGGTGTATTGAGCGTAGTTAATTAGATGCTTTATCAAAAAACCAAAAATGACAGCAATGAACGTTGGCAGTTCCTAGAAGCCAAAACAGCACATGAGTTGCCATGTGCTTGAAAACAAGTATTTATTCAGTAATGATAGGAAGAGTACTGATGTGCAGCTTTCAGATGTGACTTTGTTCATTATCCTTTTGGGAATTTACAAAACTGCAACTCTGTTGGCTGTGAGAATGTAGAAGGTTTAATTATTTTTGGTGGGTGGGATGGGAGAGAGGGCCGTGTTGATAGAGATGGGAGTAATATTTGAAAAAAGAATCTACAAATTAGATATTAGATTGTTTACCACGACTGTCAAAGTATTTATATTTGAGAAAAATACTGATGAGATCAGTGACTCAGCTGAAGATGTAGATACAGAAACCCATGTATTATACTTTATTACTTGTTACACCTCGTGGATCTTTTGTGATTGAAAGGAGATGTAGACTTTGACTAGTGAATTATTTGTAAAGATCTCCCAAACATGATCAATATTTTCCTTATAGTGTAGGTATTCAGGTATATTCTTTTCTGACTACTTGAAAATATACAGAGAGATGAAATAGAATGATTATTTTGAACTTGTACAGATTTTCATTTAAGATGAGAGTAAGCTATTGATAAAAGAAGTCATTTATGTGTTACAATGTCATTTGGAGCAGAAGTGACCTTGTAAAGGTAAGTGCTAATGAAGGTATGCTGGCATGGTTTCCAAGGCTTCAAACTTTCAATTTCGTATCACTAGGTAGGGTTATTATATCATTGGCCAAAAAGCCGTTACCTGCTAATTGGAAGCAAACAAGGTCATCCATAACGTGAATACACCTGGAATATCCGGTGACACTGTAATGTCAGTGATCATCGATGAAAGAGCAATGTAGAAATACTGAGGTGTTGTATTGGTTGGTGTCCTGTCAGATGTTGGCTTTGACAGAATATTGTTGGGTTGGCGTGATGTTGTGTAGCATGCACTGAACTAAGTTTACTAATAACGACATCCAGTAGTGGAGGAATCACTTAGTCTCCTGTGTGACTAACGACTGTACAAACAGTAATATGCACTAAATAGTAATTTACAGCACTTTTCTATGACCTTTGCACATCTTCTACTCTCTATTATTTCAACTTTGAAAATTTGTTGATTTACATTTAAAGACTTTTTTTTAATATTTTCATTAATTGTCATTTTAATTTTAGCACCGTTTTGAATTAAGAAACAGTTCAAAATTTATTTTTCATTAAATATGTTTTAAAAATTATTTATTATATACTTTGGAGTTGATTGATTTAGAAGGTGTAGTTTGTGTTTGAAAATATTATCAATCTTTTTTTTAGTTTGACATCATTAGACAGACAGGTGCAGTTACAACACTACTTTGACATGATATTTGATTAGACAGAGACATTAATATTTGACAGTTATTAACAGTGTGATGTGAAAAGACTAACATGAAGATAATAATAATGGCTAATTGCTAACATACCTTGGTGGTGGTGAATTAATTTGTCATCCAGCCATTTGTGCGCACGGTCAAATCAGGTTGTATCATCTCTGTGAAAGACATATTCATATGCGCATTACGAAATTAATGTTTAAAAAAATCAACATGAACTTTTAAAATATGTTCTCTTCACCTTGAGTCATCTCTTTATATCATGTACTAACCTTTGTGTAGACTTTTCCTTCTTTAGACAGTAACTAACCTCATTTTGCATCTCACTTTGTTTCCTTTCTTGCTTCCATGAATATCCTTGCTTGAATATGTTTTAGAATTCCAATTTACATACATTCCTATCCTTACTGTGTAAGCACTGCTGCATCTCTTCTTTACCTTGTCATTATCCACTTGTAAATGTTATGTTATGCATGCCACTTTGTATATATTCTAAATAATTTTGTTTAGTATTTTGTCAATGCCATACATCATCTTTTAATATGATGGGTTTGCTACTTAGCATGTCTGGTTTTATGTACTAATATGTAGAGCAAAGCCAGTCTTTCATAACTTGTAAAGGGAAATCAAAGACAATTTCTTATTCCACCATCTCATTGAAAGTCCTGGTAGAATGAGATTTTGTTTGTAAGTTCCAATTACAACTTGCTTCTTAAGGAAAGAAGTTACATTAAGTTCAATTTCTTTTTGTCCTATTGATTTGAGGGCGCTAGGTAGATTATAATTTGCTTCCACCTTCCTTATATTTGCATTTTAACAACTACTGGAAGGGATACTTTCGTCAAGAAGCCAGTCTGTGTAACTCCCAGCATTATCCTTTTGATGCACTTGCCTACCTTCACTCTGCTGCCGTTAAGGTTGTGAACATGATACAAATGTTAAATACTGAAAACAGGAAACAATTTATTCACATTTATATGTTCATATAATATGGATAACGTTTGTATTGCGTTTATCATTAACATGAATAAATACACATACATCATGAAAATGCCTTTGATTCTTCATACGAGCATGACACTGACCGAACAGGACACTTAATGTATGTGACCGATACAACATCGAAACTAATTATTTGCTTTTATGAGACATTTTGGAAAGTACTTGACCTCCAACATGAATATTGACATGGACTTTCGTAGGTACAATTACTGAAGGCGATGACATTGTAGAATAGAGTATGAAAGAATTGTGCATGCTACAGGTCTAGATATTACAAGCAGGCGCATAACCAAGAGTTGTGATTGTAAAACTGGAAATATGTCTCCAATTTTTAACTCGCCTAGCACAAAGGGTCAAGTGAGCTTATGTCTTGGTGCGGTGTCCATCATCTGTCGTCTGCTGGGCGTTGGGCGTCAACTTTTCACATGAAACTATTTCTCAATAACCAAAAACACAATCATGTTTGGCTGGTAGATTCCTTGGATGAAGTGAAACAAAGATTTATGAAATAAAAATACCTTTAACTACACTCACGATCACAGGAATCATCTTTCACGAAACATTCAAAACATGCGATTGAGCTAATAGATTAGCGCAGATAAAGTGTACCAAAGAACATAATCAAGGTCACAGGGGCCAAATGTGATAAAACCTTCAAACGTCTTCTCTCACGTAACAAAAATGGGATAAAAATGAAATTACCAACCTTGTTTCTGCACTCGAATAGCTTCACATGCTCATAAGTTGCATTGATTGAAGTATTCCACAACAGAGTGCGGCAACTGTAGACATATGATGTTTACTTTGGAATGTTAGCTTTTTTGTTTCAAAGTAGCTCAATTAGAAGAGCATTGGCTTATATGACTGTAGGTTGAGATTCCAGGGGCGTGGTTCAATGCTCCATTAACGTTGTGTTTTGTGTTTATCAGGAAGATGATTAACAGATCAGTATGTGGTGTGATGGATGTGTTATTGAACAGGACACTGTACCCTAATTACTCGGTATGGTATGTTTGTTGTTCAGTGAGGTAACCACCATCTTCTTTTAGGTAATTCTTCTAAACAATGCAATCCAGTAAACAAATGTTTCAAATTCATTTGATTTAGACATACATCAAATACAATTGAGACAATGAAATACAGTAAATACCAGGTGAGCTGTGCAGGTCCATTGGGCCTCTTGTTTATAAGGTGGACAAGAGACAAAAATGTTATTCCTGTATGTAAGGTAACCAATTTGGATTAAAGTCTATGGACCTGGGTTAGTGAGTGTTCATAGGTTAGTGATATATGCAGTAATGGCAAGCAAACCGATGATGAGGCTGACCTACAAATTGAAGGTAAGGATATATTGTGATATGTATAACTATATACATGTTGTCATTGCATTTAAATTAATCCTATACAAATTCTTTTGTAAAACATATAGAATATATCTGGCAGAACAAAAGTCACAATCACAGGTTAAAATATAATTACAAATGGTGGATTGGTAGATCAATTCGGTGTTGATAGCCTTGGTCTAGTGCTATTTAGTTTCAGTTGCAAAGTAACATCCACAGGTAACTTGTACAATGTTCAAATAAAACATCCTTCTTTGAAAGAACAGATCTTACTACAAAGCAATTGTATTAAACAATATGGGTTTTTAAATATTTCTTACATAGATTTTGATAAATACAACTCTACACCAGTAGGGTTTGAAACATTTTGAATTAATTTTAGTAGTGGAAATAAGGGGTGGATCAAACCTTCAGTTTTTAGTGTCACTAGGTCTCAGCACATCTTCAATGGTCACATTTATTAAATTTCACAAATATGTTCCCTGTTCAGTTATCTGGTTTTGGATTTTGTTAAAAATATTATAAACTGTTTTTGTTTGGGATTCTCCATGTCCTGTTAGTACTTACTGAATTTCTTTCTAGTCTTGCATGTGTACTTTTTCATTTTTATTTTACTTCAGTAGGAAACTTGACCTTCAGGCAAACCCAAACAAGCTTTGGATCACACATTTCTCATTATAATGAAATGTATTCTGAGTATTTCATACATTTCCGTAGTATCTCATCTTAAAACTTTTAGTGAAGGAATCCTAGTACGAGGCAAAGAAGCCTATTTCTGTCCGATCACAAGAACAAATAGGGACCAATAAGTATGAAAAAATATCAAGAATATTAACCACAACCTTTGTCTTAGAGGACTTGGAACTTAATGGTGTATTTGTATTTATATCTCGCCTCAAATGAAAAAGGAGAAATTTACCATTACTTCTTCTGGTTTCAACTGCAAGTATGTTTTTTCAATACACTAACTTTTGAACCCTCAGAGATATCTTGTAAAAATCTGACCCAACTGCATCTCAATATAAATGATCAAATTAGGTTGTGACCTTCCAGTTAAGATCATAGGCCAAATAAGTGCAAACATATGTTTATATTCTTTTCCAGTGCATAACTTTGGAACCATCGTATACGTCTGGTGTAAATTTGAAACGTAGTACAACAGCTGCAGGTTTTATGTGACAAAATGACATTACCTTAACTTTCACCTACAGGTCAAAGGTCAAATAAGTTGAAAAAAATTGTCAGTACATTCTTATCCATGCCATTTTTTTTTGAGTTGTGAAAGGCATTTTGATGAAACTTGAAACAACTGCATTGCTCTTGTGCGGTAAGCAATGCATCTCGAGGTAAACTGTTGAAACAGAAAACAATATATCAAATTGTGCTCATACCAATATCATTCGAGTCAGTTAGCATTGATTCTGCTGAAACTTTATAAATCATCAACGGTTGTTGCTCACTGCACTATGATTGAGTCATTGAGCTTCAGCTACTAAAGAACTTCTAATTTACATTTCAAAGTTGATCATAATCTAACCACAACTCACAACTCGTCTGACTAAAGGTCAAGTTCAATAGGTCAGAGGTCAAATAGTTTACTGGTATAATTTTTGTCATAAGGTCAAAGTTGATCAAAAGATAAATAAATAAGGATATGGTCAGGGTAAGAGTTCTTGTCAAACTTTTGTTATGATGAAAGGAATCAAAAACGAAGATAATTGAGGAAGCACAAGACCATAGTTTAAGGTTATGGGTCAGATAACTATAACATGTATTTCTCTGTTCATGCATAAATATTTAGTAACGAACAGGATATGTATTTGTCTGCAAATAAGAAGAGACACGTTTTTGTCCGTAAAAATAAGACTAGTTTAACTATATATATGTTACTGTTATTACACTTCAAAATCTGCCTATCGACTGTAGGGAAATGGTATGTCTTTATTTACTAAAACATACATGCTTGTCTGCAGCATGTAAATGGTATATTGTTATCTGAAAACTTGTTTATTGATATTAAGGAAATTGTTTATCTGTATCCAAAATGATTTGACCTTTCTTTATATTAGGAGAACCATATAAAAATTCCTATAACATCAGTTCAGGCTTCTATTTCTACATCTTCTAAATAAAGAGACAAGGCTATAAAAACATTTCCTGCAAAATAAATGGATGAAACAGGTCCTGAAAACTGCATGAATGTTTTTACATTACCTACAGAGAAAGAAATATTTCTGGTCACCAGTTCACAACAAAGTCTCACTATGACAAGGAAATGTTCATCACATTTTTCCCAATTCATATGTTGTTGTGTGTTGTACCATACATTTGATTCATAATTTTTTAACTATGTTCTTGTGTGGTGAAACAAATTTAAACATTATCCAAAATGGTAGAAATGTAAGTGAAAGATATCTGCCTCTTTCAGATGCTTTCTATTATATAACTAGGACATCGTGGGTTGTGATATTTGTCTTTAAGATGAAGATTGTAAAAACGCTAGACAGTAGTAGTGATATATGAAAAAACAGAAACGAGAAGGCCAACTATCAGTTAATGTGAAGGGTTCAAATCGTCATTATTATCGATGGAGGTTGACATTTGCGATTTATGATATTTTTGATGGCAATTTTACAAAAACCTTAAATGGAAGCAAATATTAATACTCACTATATAGACATTATGGTGTAATTTGTAGACAGCGGCGATAAAGCTTATGAAGGACGAGGAAGAAGACAGGACAGTGCGCGGGACAAGGTAGATCGCTCTTTTGGCAGTCATGATAGTAATTACAGTAGTAGCAATGAGGACAGTATCGATCGCGACATCAGGTGGGACAGAAATGGAGAAAGGTACGATGATAGACGAGATGGATATCACAAGGAGAGACAGGATCACCGTGATGATAGGTATGAGGAGAGACGAGATGGACGACATCACGAGGAAAGATGGGATCGACGCGACGACGGTAGGGATGAGAGGAGAGATGATGAAAGGAGACAAGATATAGCGGTCCCACCACCACCACCAACTACTAAACCACCAGCAATTAAAAAGCCAAAGCAGCCATCTGTAAAACCCAAGAAACCAGGTGTGTTCGAACACTTAAACATAATGAATAAAATATCACAAAGTCAGATCTATACGCTCACTTCACTAAAACAAATTTCTTAGAAGCACTGTGATTGATTCAAATATTATATATAATGTTTCTTTTTTCACAGCCCCGAAGAACGACCTGCATGATGAACTGAAGAAGAGAGTGAGTACACACGTGCTGGAGGCGCCGAAGGGAACAACTTACATATCAAAATATTCTGAACCAGATGAGATTAAGGACTGGCTGCTTACCAAAGGCTTCAGCAGGCAGTATGTTTAGACATTTTTGGAATTGTACCATGCAGTATGCATGCTGAGGCTTCATTGATACAATCAAATAATTAAAGTGTACTCTATTTTTTGTTTTCCTTGAAATTTAGTATCCGTTATCTACGTACGAGTATAAATTTTCAGGTGAAAATATATCGAAAGCTGATACTTAAATTAACAGTGTTCAAGATTTATGTAACAAAAAAAAAATTGTTAATGAGGATATAATTAACAGAATCATGATTTAGCCAGGCTATGATATCATGGTCTTTAGTGTAGATGGAAGAACCTTCAGTTACAATCACTTTAGTCTGATTAGTATTTTATTTTTATATATGGAGGAGATCAGACACTTAGTGAAGGTAATGATGCAGAAGACACTTACTCTTCTGGAACTCCTGGTCTTATTCTTTTACAGAATTCTTGGTGGAAATTTTTATTTTGTTCATACCTTCCTCAATTTGTATTGAATTTGAGTTTAGATTATAATTATGTTGACATAGTGGTATTTTCTTGTTGTGTCTGTCTACATTAATGAACTACACTGTATTTATAATATTCATAATCTGACCTATGACCTATACCAGGATTCATTATCCTATTGTAATTTTCAGCTGTGTTAACACATTTGACGGGTATAATGGCGAAGATCTTTTTGCCATGCAACGTAAGGAAATGAACCGACTGCTGGAGAAAGATGAGGCGCACAAACTGGACAGCATGCTGCTGGTTCAGAAAAAAATCAGCAATGTAAGTAACGACCTGAAAACATAACATGATATAGAAAACCGCGTTCATTTTTGTTGGAATATGTAGCGGTTTAATGTATATAACAATATATATTTATACGTGGAATTATTACTGCAATTATATATATGTAGCAAAAATAAAAATTCGAAGTTTAGAAATGTACAGATTTACAGAGGTCAAGAAAGACATGGTACAATGATATAAATACACACTTGACTTAACTCGATACATAGAAATATGTATCTAACACTTGTGGCTTGTACCATTAGAGTAAGCAGGACGTGTTTTCTCATTTGTTGGTATGGTGTTTGAATTTTCCAGAGATATTTCTTGAAGTGTTTTTTAAGTATGTTTTTGTGTTTAATGTTATTCCAACATGTTAAGATTTCATATTTATTTTTCCCTGAAGTATGGCACAAGAGGTGGCTCAGAGCTGAGGAAAATCCTGGAGGACCGAAAGAAAAAAGCGGAGACGTCGACGTCTGCACACATTGGTAGTGCTCCGTCATTCGCCCCTGAATCCCCTGATTATAGTGAAGAGGACTCTGACAGTAAGTGTGTCTCCTCCACCCGAAACCCTGAAGTCTGAGCTGGTCATCCAGCTGTAGCCTCAATATGTATGTTACTTGATTCTGGTTAAATACAAATGCACTGCTTGCAAAAACAGACAAAAGGCAATGTTCCTTATAGTAAATGTTACATGCTCAGTAGCAAACCTCTCCCAAGAAATCTCGAGATTTTCTTGTATAAACAGGAATTCCTCATTAGCATGTCTCTAAACGAAATAGTGAACATTTTCAGTATCGACACCCGATATAATCAGAACACTGTGAGAGACAAGATTATGTAGGTTCAGATTGAATTCATTTCATTGCTGTGTGTTACTGTAAAGGTTCTTTTATTCAATATTTTCAAGGTGGAATGAAATTGTGAAAAATTTTACACCTTGAGAAAAAAATTGCATATTCACAAGTATACATGCATGATATTGTTAAAACAATATACATATATATATATAAGCAGTTTTTATCAGTTTTGATCTCATTAATAAGGAAAGAAATGAATGAAAATAAATGAATATGTACATTATAAAAATAATATCAGAAAAAATGAATTTATAAGAAGGGCGAAACGACTGTAGGATGCATTTTCATTCATCCATTATTTGGCTTAGCTGTACCTAATTCTAGATTTGCATTGAAATGTGTTACCCACATGCATCTATTGTACAATCTTCGAGATATACAGGTGGTAGACACTGCTGGTGGTCCATGAGGTTTACCGTAAGCAGCATAACATGCTTTATTTCATTTGAATAATGTCACGGTTAATTACGAAATTCATTAAATATCGGGACTAGTCCACGGCCAAATCAAGCTTCTGACATGGTGTTTTCATCTGTTTTGGTTTTCCTTAGTCACCTCCTAAGTTTTAATACTTAGGTCCGTGTCATCACTCACAAGTCCTGAAAGGATGGAATAGTCGTAGGTAGCTGGTTAATTAATTAATTGACTGTATCTAATTCTGTGCATCTTTTTATGGCAATCCTAACAAAAATTGAATGAAATTATGCAATCCTTGCAAACATCGCGTAATATTGTGCAATCCTTACAATGTATAAAATGGACAACATTTCAAATGGTAAAAGCTAGTGCAAATAAGATAGCTGTCAATATGTTATACTCTATATAGGTATAAATTGTATCTGACTTTGAATCATAAACACATGTTTCTTATTTTCAGCCAATTGAGTTGTCTAGGGCTTTATGATTTAAGCATCACACAGGTTTAGTATTCTCTCTTGCTGTATGCACATCGTCTAACCAAATCCACATAGTACATTATCATGTTTCACCGATATCGGAATTTCGTTAATCTGGACCGCGCCATTCAAATCCATGTCACTGAAACAATTCAGTGATAATAGAGTTCCAACCACCTGGATTTAACAAGAAATTTGTGATCTGGAATTTTCCTTCGTAATGATTTATAATATGGACACAAAGGGAAAGAAGTATCAAAGGGTCTGGAATAACGAAGTCCCTTATATGTACAGCACTAAGACTTAGATTGTAGTAAAATGCCTTCATGTCGACCATGGTTAGAATGTTATTAGGAATTAATCATTACAATACCTACATCAGCAGAACCTCACTTAATCTTACACCAAACATATGTAATTAAATATCCATGGTATACTTAGAGTTTTTCGGTGAGGTGAAATAGTATATTTTACTAAATTTTGTTATCTTACAATTGACACAAATTTTATATATGTCAGCAAACGATTGAAGAGTTATGTGCTACAGTATCTGTTACATAATTCCTGTTAAAATTATTTTTATCAATCTTGGATACAACTTTTACAATGATTGATTCCTGGTGACATTTGTTTCTAGGTAAGCTGTAATTTGATAGCGCTGTGGTTTTGTGCTGTTTGTGTTATAGTATCAATCAATATACACAGCTGAATGCATCTTGAGGTGAACATGTGTGTGGAGTTGAGAACAGGATTCCAAGTTGATAACTCAGACTATCAAACAAGTAGGATTAATGGGATGTTTTGGTGGCTTAGTAGGGGTTGCAAATATGAAAAAAAATCATCATCATCTTGGATTTGTTTGTCAGTGACCTCTTGGACATATTTTGAGAGCACACAGTTGTAAATACAACAAATGATTTAGTTTTATATCAAATCCTAACAATATTTCATGGATTTCTTAACAGTTTTGGAGAAAATACAAACAGATTTTGAAAATATGCTGGACACATATTGAGTTCCTTATTGACAATGGTAATATATTGTACATACATTTTCTGTTCTCCTTGACCCTTGATCTTTAACCCTTTGATCTTTAACACCACTAAACATTTACCATACCTCAACTATATCCATTCTAAAATGCACCCATTCAAGCTTTATCTACAGATACAACGGAACCGCATCAATTTTACCGCGATCACTTTTCTGGAAGCTATTTCCAAATTGAAACTTTAAGTCAAAAAGACAGTAAATAACACATTTTTGTATAATTAACTTTGCAAACAGATGTTTTCAATTTCATCTAACTGTCTACATTTGCACAGTCATTTGGTCTTATGTGCTACCTTTATACACAGGCTACCTGTCTGTAAAGGCCACTTTTTTGGTTCCCCATGTAATACAATTCATGGAAATTAAACCTGTACATTAAGGCCACCTGTGTATAAAAGCCACTTTTCTCTTCTACCTTGAGTGGCTTTTGTAGACAAATTTGACTGTACATTTATGCCACTTAAATATGAATTATGAACAGGTTTCCAGAAAGGTATATTTCAAATCGGAGTTGAAAATGACGGGGTTCCGTTTCCAATTTTGTCCCAATAAGTAACATGTTTGCCTGATTTAACATACCGTAGTTTGTCTCTTGCAGCTTTCTGTCAATTAATTAAAAATCGTAATTTTTCAAAGGAGGAATAATTAACCATAAAATGGATATTTGTGTTTACCCATTTTAGCCATCATGTTTTATATGTTACCGTGCACCGTCTACCATGCATGAACTTTCCATTCAAATGACTTCTTCTCCATAACAAAAAGGCCCAGGGTGGATGAAGGATGCAAGGATGAAGGGCTACCAAGTTTATTAATATAAATGACCTTGACCTGCTTTCAAGGTCACAGGTGTCAAATATGTCAAAATCTTTAAATGACATCTAATCAATAACAAAAAGGTTCATGGTACTGATATTGGGTGTTTTGCTACCAAGTTTGTTAAAAGGAATTACCCTGACCCACTTTCAAGATCACAGGGGTAAAATGTGTTGAAATATTTAACCGACTTATTCTTAATTACCATAAGGTTGACAGTGCTGATATTGAATCTGTGGCATGTTGTGGTGAAGGGCTACTAAGTGTGTCACCTTTACCTACTGTCAATGTCACTGGGTCAAATGTGTTGAAATACTTAAGCAACTTCTCTTAATGACCATAAGGCTAAGGGTCTTGATATTGGGCTTGTAGCATGCTTTTTCAACAAGCAATATGTTCAGAGTAATGGCATTTGTGCATTATAAAGAATATGATTTCCAGTTCATAGAAAGTGTCTTTATGAACCAACCAATGTGTTCTATGTAAGCAGTAGTGTAGTTGAGCAATTTATTTTAGGTCTGTTTGGCCTCTTTTATATAAAGGTCTTTATAGTCAGATGACCCTAAAGCCCCTGTTGGCCTCATGTTATCTTATCAAAATCATTGGTTATATGTACAATATCAAAAATAATCCTGTTTTCTATACACTCTCCAAATCATTGAACTCCAGTCTGGATAAACATATTTTTGCTGTCTGAAATATTATTGGGTAAATCTGAAGACTGTTTGATTAACTTGACTCATAGTTATAATGATAGCTAACGTTAAAGACCTTTCAGATTGCTGAGAAGTTCCTCTGAGATAGATATTGCTCATTTTTACTATTACGCTGACTTATTTCTCCAACAGATTCGTATCACTCACATGATAGCACTATGATAGAGCATTGAAAAGGTCAAGGCATCACCCAAGGAGTAAAAAAAATATATTTAGATGGAGAGCAAAATCCATGGACGTGTTTCCCTAAAAGGATGTGATATTTTCTTAAAAACAGCTAATAGGAGATTATATAACTATTTTTATAAATGCACCTCGATGTCAAGGCAGCTTTACCTTGTTTATGCTTTAACAACTTAACTTTGCATGTTCAGTATTGTTGAATGTTGTTTAGTACCTTGCATGAACCTTTTCTAACATTATATCAGCCTCAGAACAGTCCCTTTATATGAAAACAATGTGAGATGACATCTTAATTCAATTACCTGTTTTTAATTTATCTGCCATTGCCTTCCAATAACACACTGGGACACTGGTCACACTGAAATAACAATTTAGAATGGATTTCCTTTTCATATACATCAAACCTTAATGATATTCGTTTAATAAAAAAATCCTGTCTAATCTTTTGATACGGCTGTACTGATGAGACAAATATCGATTCATAATAAAATTTATGTTTATTTAAGCTTTTATAGGGATATTTTTAAAATTCATGCTGGTATGAAAAAAAAACTTATTTGCAAACTGAATGAATGTGCATACAGACAACGAAAAATTATTAATATTTTGATAAGTTTTGAACTTCATCGCTGTTAAGTCTCCTGTTCTTTTGTTTTGAAGCGATTTGTGTATGTTCATACCTATTTCACTATTTACAGGTGATCGCTCTGACGATTTTGTTAACGCTGGAAAGACATTGAGGGCTCTGTTACAGAACCGCCGAAGAAAAATCCATACTGCTACATATCAACAAGACAAACAAGAGTGATGTGATACGTGTTTGGTGATTAAGTGTACAATAATTATTTATATTGTGATTAAATGCATATCCAGTTCATTTATTGTGATTAAGCGTAAATTCAGTACGCATTGACCGTTGATATGTTTATCGTGATAACATTCACATCAGTACTCATTTATCGTAGTAATGTGCACATCAGTCCATATTTAGTAGGAAGTGTCAGTATCTACAAATAATAGATTCTATTGCTCTTTATAAAAACTTTTTTTGCAATTAACCCTTGACCACAAATTGATTCTTGTGCAGCAATTACTGACTAGTTCTGTTGAACAGATAGATTTTTATTCTGCAAACAATACATATTAACCTGCTTTACCACACTCCAGTTACATCTGCTGAACCACTGTATATATGATACCACAATAATGTATTCAATTTTACATGTCTGTCAAATCAAATCCTTGTTGTAACATGTGTACACAACCTATCTATAAAAATACATTGATTTTTACTTAAAACTATTAATAGCAGTTTTATAGCAACTGTCTCTTATATCCATCAAAATTTTAGTTTTGAGAAAGATAATTTTCAGCGAGTTCATCAAATTTTTGTGTGCTGAAAAGAAAAATATTTCTGACATAGTATTTCCAGTCATAAGAACATGACTGGCATGTACATCACTGATTTCAGACTGGGACAGGATGGGCACTGCAGGTCAGACACTCTTGTTTGATAACATTTTTCATGGTTGGCATTTAGTAAAAAAATCTTAGATTTCACTTATTGTTAAAAGGATGATATGTGATGTGATAAGTATTCAGCAATACACTTTTATATGCAAATGATTTAGCTACAAATGTCTGATTGAAGTACAATATTGAATATATGAAAATGTACACATATACTATAGTTAATATCCATTATTCAGTGCTTTGTGAATAATATACATTGATTTTGTATGTTTGTTATGTAAACATGTTAAGTAGATTTAGAAATGTTCACTTGGTTTTTTAATAACATATACAAATGTTTTGAAATTATATATGCAGGTGATTTGCAGAACATATGAAGGTACACATGTCTTGGAGATCATATGTACATGCACTTGTTTTGTAGATGTCATATGAATGTTGACATCTTTGGTAGAATATACATGTATATATATATATACATACGCACATATTTGTAGAACATATACATGTGCACGTGTGAGCTAGATGATGTGTAAGTACTCAAGTTTATAGTTGATGTATATTACATGTGTTTTGTAGATATCAATGTGTATGTCACATGTTTTGTATATTTTTGTATGTACAGGTGTTTTATTAATGTGTGAGTGTTTTGCTGTTTACATTATGCAAGCATCTTTGGTAGATCATATGTATATACGTGAACCCATGTTTTATATAATATGAGTATTTACATGTGTTTCAAAGAACATATGTATGTGCATATTTTCAGATGACTAACAGGTTAGATCGATGAACTACAAGTACTTTGTACATTGCTGTTTGTACATTGCTGCATTACACACATGTTTTGTACATTGCTGCATTACACATGTGTTTTGTACATTGCTGCATTACACACGTGTTTTGTACATTGATGCATTACACATGTGTTTTGTACATTGCTGCATTACACACGTGTTTTGTACATTGATGCATTATACATGTGTTTTGTACATTGCTGCATTACACACATGTTTTGTACATTGATGCATTACACACATGTTTTGTACATTGATGCATTACATATGTGTTTTGTACATTGATGCATTACACACATGTTTTGTACATTGATGCATTACACACGTTTTGTACATTGATGCATTACATATGTGTTTTGTACATTGATGCATTACACACATGTTTTGTACATTGCTGCATTACACATGTGTTTTGTACATTGCTGCATTACACATGTGTTTTGTACATTGCTGCATTACACACGTGTTTTGTACATTGATGCATTACACACGTTTTGTACATTGTGTTTTGTACTGCATTACACACATGTTTTGCATTACATTACACATGTGTTTTGTACATTGCTGCATTACACATGTGTTTTGTACATTGCTGCATTACACACGTGTTTTGTACATTGATGCATTACACATGTGTTTTGTACATTGCTGCATTACACACGTGTTTTGTACATTGATGCATTACACATGTGTTTTGTACATTGCTGCATTACACACATGTTTTGTACATTGATGCATTAAACACATGTTTTGTACATTGATGCATTACACACATGTTTTGTACATTGATGCATTACATATGTGTTTTGTACATTGATGCATTACACACGTGTTTTGTACATTGATGCATTACATATGTGTTTTGTACATTGATGCATTACACACATGTTTTGTACATTGATGCATTACATATGTGTTATGTACATTGATGCATTACACACGTGTTTTGTACATTGATGCATTACACACTTGTTTTGTACATTGATGCATTAAACACGTGTTTTGTACATTGATGCATTAAACACGTGTTTTGCACATTGATGCATTACACACGTGTTTTGTACATTGCTGCATTACACATGTGTTTTGTACATTGCTGCATTACACACGTGTTTTGTACATTGATGCATTACACATGTGTTTTGTACATTGCTGCATTACACACGTGTTTTGTACATTGATGCATTAAACACATGTTTTGTACATTGATGCATTACACACATGTTTTGTACATTGATGCATTACATATGTGTTATGTACATTGATGCATTACACACGTGTTTTGTACATTGATGCATTACACACTTGTTTTGTACATTGATGCATTAGACACGTGTTTTGTACATTGATGCATTAAACACGTGTTTTGCACATTGATGCATTACACACGTGTTTTGTACATTGATGCATTACATATGTGTTTTGTACATTGATGCATTACATATGTGTTTTGTACATTGATGCATTACATATGTGTTTTGTACATTGATGCATTAAACACGCGTTTTGTACATTGATATATTAAACACGTGTTTTGTACATTGATGCATTACATATGTGTTTTGTACATTGATGCATTACATATGTGTTTTGTACATTGATGCATTAAACACACGTTTTGTACATTGATATATTAAACACGTGTTTTGTACATTGATATATTAAACACGTGTTTTGTACATTGATGCATTACATATGTGTTTTGTACATTGATGCATTACATATGTGTTTTGTACATTGATGCATTACATATGTGTTTTGTACATTGATGCATTACATATGTGTTTTGTACATTGATGCATTTCATATGTGTTTTTATACATTGATGCATTAAACACGCGTTTTGTACATTGATGCATTACCTGTGTGTTTTAGATGTTTATTTACATGATGTGTAGATGGTGTTTTATAACACGTGTTTCTTATTTGGAGATAATTTTTAGAAACACGATAATATTTTTTGACAATCAAGTTTTGTTATTTCATTAACACATTACAGTATGTGTCTAAACTATCGTCGCCATCATTTTACCTGGCTGGCCTAATTGTTAACAAAAAATGATAATGACTGTATGTGTTATGGGCTTATATGTCTACATCGTTACTCTGAATAACATTTCATCAACATGTTTTGTGATATAAAGCAGGTCCCCTGGTAATAGAATTTTATATAAATCTCCAGGTCTCCTGGTAATAGAAATTTATGGAAATGTCAAGGTTGAGGTCAAAGTCTCAGGTCTCCTGGTATAGAATTTTACATAAATCTCCAGGTCAAGGTCAAGGTCTCCTGGTAATAGAAATTTTATATAAATCTCCAGGTCTCCTGGTAATAGAAATTTATGTAAATGTCAAGGTTGAGGTCAAAGTCTCAGGTCTCCTGGTATAGAATTTTACATAAATCTCCAGGTCAAGGTCAAGGTCTCCTGGTAATAGAATTTTATATAAATCTCCAGGTCTCCTGGTAATAGAAATTTTTGTAAATGTCAAGGTTGAGGTCAAAGTCTCAGGTCTCCTGGTATAGAATTTTACATAAATCTCCAGGTCAAGGTCAAGGTCTCCTGGTAATAGAATTTTATATAAATCTCCAGGTCTCCTGGTAATAGAAATTTATGTAAATGTCAAGGTTGAGGTCAAAGTCTCAGGTCTCCTGGTAATAGAATTTTATGTAAATGTCCAGGTCGAGGTCAAGGTCTCCTGGTAAAAGAATTTTATATAAATCTCCAGGTCTCCTGGTAATAGAAATTTATGTAAATGTCAAGGTCGAGGTCAAGGTCTCAGGTCTCACGGTAATAGAATTTTATATAAATGTCAAGGTCGAGGTCAAGGTCTCCTGGTAATAGAATTTTATATAAACCCCTTGTCAACAAAAGTGGTGTGGACACATCAATGCTATAAACACATTATTAACTATTTAAGGAATACCTCCAGCTAAATGCAATCTGTAGTGAGTATTATGCTATCAGTGTTGTATATCATGTAGTGAAATTCAAAATAGATATACAATAAATTTAATATTTTCTCTGGCACCTCTTATTTTGCAAAAGCCCTCTTTTTGGTCTTTCTAGAGTATGCTGTTTATCATATCAAGTTTGTATGAAGACTTTGTTGTGTGTTTTCTGTTATTAATAACTCTGATGTACTCACATCTTTTTTGTCTCTACTATCATATATTTCATTTTGAAAATAATATTTTCAAATTTTTAAATATTATTAATAATGTGTAAATATTTTGTCTGATATCCAATATACATAATCAAGTATAAGCATGTGCAATCATCGCTGCAGTTATTCAGGAAACATATTGGTTTATTTAAATAATATTTCTTGCCAAAATCAATATGAATCTTAGAATCGGAAGTATACCAGTTTTCCTCTATACATTCAATGCAATTGTTATATTATTGACGCCCTCGTCATTTCATGATCTGGGAATGTAGTGTTTTGTTTAGCCACTATTATGTTGTATGTCGTTTCCACTCTTTTTCTCTTGAGAGGTATGTATATAAGACTTATTTGGTCAATTGTATTATAGAACACACAGGTCAATTTCTGATTTCATTAAAGTTAGTTCAAATTTTCCAGAGTTATGGTCAATTAATTAAAAAGAATTTGAATTAAAACTTTCTCAAAAATGATATAACCAAAATTGGAGAATCTTTGCTTGACTGCAGGGGAAGATTTAATAAAGAATTTTTTTTAAAAGGAAGAAAAACAAATGTCAATGACTATCTCACTTCAAAGGAAATTTGAGATTGGCTAGCTTGTTATTTAATGGGGCAACTGTCCTAGGTCAGTCAATACTTGACTTGTTCTTAAAAGTCTCGAGTACCCCTCTTTACAAAACTGATAACACTAAAAAGCTGGATTCTTCTCACTGATTGTTAAATGAGGTAATTGTGTCGTTAGGACACATTTATTTTTTTGTTATGAACTTAATAAAATTATTCTACAATAACAAAATTCTTTAATTAAAACTTGCTTATAAATCATTGTTCTTTTTATCAATGGCTATGACTCCAACTGTTTGAGAAAGTGTTGTTATTCTTTATTAAAACTTCTTTTTTCATAGTTATTATTCAGTTTTACATTGAAATGTTCAGGTATTCAGAGCGATCATTTTAAATATATGTTCAACTTATAATCAAATACTACAATACTACGTAGAAGTATTTAAAGACGAGTTCCCATAGATTTTCAACAAAATATCTTTCGAAAACAGGGTTTTTGATTCAAGCCAAACCAGTTTTTAAGGTGAAGTTCCTTCCATTGTATATACATCATGAAAAATCCCCTACTATAACCTTTATCAAAAGGTAGAAATGCCACAAAGAGTACCTGCTTTCTCAGCTTGCAAATTTTCCAAGACAAATTGGGAAGAATTTATTTACAATATGACATGTATTATCAACACGATTGTTAAGTGAGGTATTCTAACGTAGAATTTATGAGAACATCTTTATACTGCTATAATGAAAATCGTTGGGAAATTATCTTCAAGATGAAATATTTTATCAATTTTACGGGATTTACTAATTGTCTTGTCATGTATACATTTTTACCATATATACTTACCTTGATCACAAGTTTCTTTAACTGTTCCACATTGCCTTTGTATTGACTGGAAATGGAACTTTTACACTACAAGACATGTTACTAAATTTGTATTCAAATTACAGAATATGAAAGTGTACTTTTGTTTGTGTTTGTTTTCTATCCCTTTTATTTAAAAATTAGCAGATTTGTTTAAGGAAAACAATTGTATTAATTGTTAAAATACTGATCTCCTCAAGTTCCTTATTACTATTGACATTAGAGGACGAGTTTTAAAGAGATAATAATACTGTGCTCATACTAGAAGTACATGAAACCTGAAGTGGAATTTGTTTTTACGGTAATGTGACTTGGAAATCAATTTTCTATCTCTACTAGGTGAAAATTACCTTTTCTATGCAGATCAGGTGAGGACCATTCAGGTTTGGCTCAACAGAGCTAAACTGATTACATTGAAACCTTTCGAAAAATTGTTCATCTTTTTTTCTTTCTTTTTCTCCTGTATGTTTGAACAAGATATCCCAGTAGGATCTTGTCTTTTAAAAATGGATCTTTTCCATTCTTTCCTCTGTTTTTGCTCTTTGTCATGAAATTTTAAGGTTCCTTTAAAGAAATAGTGATAATAATCTTTACCTGCCAAATCCAAGATTGTCACCTATCAGCCATTTTTTGTTTTCCTTATTTGTCCCAAAATTGAAAGCTCACATCTGGGAACCAAGAGGCTCCAGTATATAAAATTTAAGCAGGATCTATCCTTAAACATCTCAAAAATTTGTCAAAATCCATGAAGGTTGTCTATTGGCCCCTTTTGTATCTAGACCAGTCCCAAAATCTAAAAGGCACAACTAGAGCTAAGAACCTACATATGAAAACTTCTCAAGATATAGTGATAACATTCTTTCTCTGTCAAAATCCTTGACGTCCATTTCAGTTTTCTGATCAGTCACAAAATCAAACGGGCAAAACAAGAGACCATGGAAAATTTAAATATCAAATTTGAGAAATATCCATTTTGTACTTCTCAAGAAGTACAATCTTTCTTCATCAAGATCCATGTAGGCCATTGTGCTATCTGCCGAGTCCCAAAATCCAACAGGAACTACTAGGGACTGTCTGCCGAGTCCCAATATCCCACAGGAACGACTAGGGACTGTCTGCAGAGTCCCAAAATCCCACAGGAATGATTAGGGACTGTCTGCCGAGTCCCAAAATCCCACAGGAACGACTAGGGACTGTCTGCCAAGTCCCAAAATCCCACAGGAACAACTAGGGACTGTCTGCCGAGTCCCAAAATCCAACAGGAACAACTAGGGACTATCTGCCGAGTCCCAAAATCCCACAGGAACAACTAGGGACTATCTGCCGAGTCCCAAAATCAAACAGGAACAACTAGGGACTATCTGCCGAGTCCCAAAATCCCACAGGAACAACTAGGGACTATCTGCCGAGTCCCAAAATCGAACAGGAACAACTAGGGACTATCTGCCGAGTCCCAAAATCGAACAGGAACAACTAGGGACTGTCTGCCGAGTCCCAAAATCCCACAGGAACAACTAAGGACTAACTGCCATATAAAGGCCTGATTGTTGCGAGTCTCATATCTAAGGTTTTGACTTTTGGCAGACTTATTGCATTATTTTTCAACATGAACACCTGCATTATTGATACATTTTTGCCAGCGATGTTTAAGGACCTCAATGCCACTTTTAAAGAAGTCCACTGCATGTATGACATCATCATCTGACTGAAAGTTGGTACAGGAAACAGCACCATTTCACTGTAGCATGTGAAAGGGCATCATTCCCTAGTGTTGCTACCATATCAGTATGGATATCCTAAGGTGCTAGACCTTTCTTATGCAAATATTGAATCACTGCTCCTTCAGCAATTTTGTCCATTTTGCAAAAGTCAGTTGCTATGTTTAAGAGTGCTACCATTTGGACATAAACTGACCAAAAGACACCAGTCTTCGGGTACACAGCCTTAAATAATCGGGGAATAGCAGAGCTAAAAAAGGACATCCCTGCTTAAATTCCTTAGTACAAGGCTCACAACTTATCAATCAGCTCTCTTGCATATGAAATTTGAGAAAGGTTCATCTAGTACTTAAGAAATAGTGATGACAAACTTTCATTGTAAAAATCCAAGATGGCTGCCTGTCGGCTATTTTGTTTTACTGATCAGTTCCCAAATACAATGGACACAACTAGGGACCAAGGGGAACCTAGAAGTGGAATCTGATACAGGAATAACTGATGTTCTGCAGTAAATTATTTTGTAAGTGACAAGAAGAGTCTCACTATTTTGGTCTTGTGACTCAAGATTACAAAGAAAAATTGCAACCGGGCTCCAAACTAAGTAGATTAAGTTTGCTCCATCCTAATGATATTCTGCAATGATCAACCACTTAACACCTACTGATACTTGGATGTATCAATTTTTAAGAAATCACAACAGAAACACAAAATCTGTCCAATATATAGTTTTATTTATCAAAGATTATTTACTACCTAAATGGTCGGATCTAATTTCTGGTCACCCGTCCCTCCAGCCGGTCACCCATCCTTCGTACTAGCCACACCATACAGACAGTAGGTAAACAGAGTAGTATTGTTAGGTCCAGAGACTGGTGTTAGCCTAACTTGGAAATCAATTTAAAATGAAGAACAATATTTCCATCCTTGCATAAACAAATACATAATATAAATCATAAAATTTCAAACATAGTGTTGGTCCATATGTATAGAAAAAACTTAACATTATATAAAGAATATTATTTTGTGTATAAGATTAGACATTGGTGTTCTCTATTATATATATATATATATAATTGCATAAATACAATACACGTAAAAATAGCAAATATATATAACAGAATTGATGTTTCCAAAAGAAAATAAAACTATTTTCATAGTTATGGCTATTTTCGAATTTTCCTCCCAGAAAATTACACACCACATGTATGAGGAACCAGTGTAAAAGGGTAGTTTTTTTTAAATATACCGTACATTTATTAATATTTTGTACAATACTGTATCTGTTTGTATTATCTTTATAGTAATAGAAAGGGAAATTAATATTTAATCAAAGCAAACTGAGAATAAATTGTATTTTACCAATAACCTGCTAAATATTTTTCTACCTATCATTCCTCACACTAATTGCACACATCATTATTTCTCTGTAACCAAAAACATATGGGGACTTTTTCACATGATGAGCAGCAGAAATGTACTTCGAAATACATGAATTATGAGAGAAGCAAAAATAAACTATTAACGTTAAGCAAGAACATAAACCGTTTTTTTCATAAATGAAAACATTTTGAGTTAAACTACTGTTTGTTCTACAAAATTGTCAATACATAACCTTCCATTCAGATTCGTGTCAGAATGATAAATGATAATTGAATTTTATGATGCAACATTTAGATGGGACAATGCTGTTTTGTGAAACATTGGATTAATAAAAAGACATGTAATGTACAAGCACCTTAACAACAGTGTTTCCTTTTCATTTAAACAACGGAACCTGTCCCTTATATCTAACCCCTGAAAATTCTGACCTCCTCCCTAATCCAAACCCTAAGTGATATGACCCCTGAGCATTCTGACATCCAAAATCTATGTGATTTGACTCATGAACATTTTTACATCTTCCCTCATCCATCCAATGCCGTCATTACAATATCATATACTGTATCACACTGAATCTTGTGATTTAATCAGCATTACTCCAATGTCAGAAACACCGCTAAATATCGTCAATACTGAACCTTATGATAAAAACAATAAAGTATATAAACAATTTTATTTTTGTTTTTTTTTTAAGGTAAGAAGAAAAAAAAATGCGAATTTCACAAGATGTTTTCCAAGCAAAAAATCAACTTTAAAAATCATGATTTGTTCTCAAGTGTGAAGAAGAAAAATCACAAAATAAGTAAAGATTTTAACAATCCCAAGCAGAACAAACATACATGCATGCTATTTCAGCAGGTTGTTTTCTTTAATGGACTTCATTAAAACGTCAATATATTTTGATTAATATTTCATAAAAGGATTCAGAAACAACTATTATTCAAACCATCGCAAAACTTGTTAATATTACATAAAAACGCAACGTCATAAGTAAATATACACATGAGACCTAGCAGTGATCTGACGATCTGTGTCTACATCTGCAACAGATACCTTAGTACATACTCCGTGTACTGTCCAGCTGATCTTGAATAAATACCAAATTAAGAGCCAATGACAGAAAAGACTGTCTAATATAATAGATATGTAGCTTCAAGGAGTCATCAACATATATAGAAAGTAATCAAACAAAGCTTAAAGACCAGCCAAAAATAGTTTTGAAAAAATTGATAATAAATTGAAAATCAGCTATTAAGATAACAAGCATATAAAAATAATATTTTGCACTAATCAACAGATTATTTAATAAACTATGGTATGTGAAATACAACTATTTGCATAAATACTGAACATTGATATAATTATGTTATGAATAAAATCATGGTGCCTTTCTCAGTTTACTTTCAAGGCCTTAAGTCCCTTTATATTTTCCACTGATACAAAATCAGAATTTGGGTCTATTCCAAGAAGATAAAAGATGTTGAATGTTCTTGACTAGTAATGATGCAGAAAAATTATCAGTACATCAAAATATCATGACAGCACAGTAGACAAGCTATTGTTTCATAGTTATGTAATTTTTATAACAAATTCTGTGACTGTCTCCCTTAAATAGCCAAACCATATTGGTGTATGTTGTATTTTTTCAATACAGAACACTCTTTTTCCTGTCATTAACAGTATCACAAAAACAAAATAAACCTTGAAAATAATGGATACCTTCACAGTCACCATTTCTTCCCTGAAAATGTTTCATAAACCAAATCATATTCCAACCCCTTCAAATGGATTTTCCTGTTAGTCTTGGTCCACAAAATTCCATTTCAATAATTAACACATGTAACCAAAAAGGAAAAGTGAAGCTCTCCACCAAAACCAATAATAACATTCACACATATTGTGAAACAAAAAATTGGTCCAATAATGCATTAAACTTGGTCCATACATATATCATAATCTTTTCACACTTGGTCCATTTTACAAATTGAATATCTGTTTACAACAAAACAAATGAACTGAAGTTAAACAACAAACGTCACCCAATATCGGACTATAAACATTTCACGCATCTTTACAAAACCTAACATTAGGTAGAGTAGGTTCATGAATTTAAAACAATGATAAAGATTAATCCGGAGATCTGCAGTCAGTCAAAATTATTACTTTCATGTTTAAGGTTTAGAGCAAGTCTATTGCCTCTTAGTCTTTCTGAAGTCAACAGACAAGAAAATCAATAACAGACTGAGAATGACTTCTAAAGACAAAATGATATACATTTACATCGGTAACATACAGTGTATACAGTGGCTGTATGAATTTATCACAGAGGTATTGGTAAGCACGGATTAGTATACAATCCTCTCTATTTTTCTTATATTGATCTATACATGGTATATGCAAAACTACAGAAAAATATTTCCAGGTTATGTGCAAATGTTCTTTTTTGAGGAAATTTGTAATAAAACCATCCTGATATACAATAACAAATTAATTTTTGCCAAAGAATATCCATTACTTAAAGTTAATTTTACATTTAATAGGCATTATTTTGGGAAAAAAAACGCATGATATGTACTATATGAAATCAAAACAATTTGAAAAAAAAAAAAAAAGATTTTTAAGACAAATATGAGTCTTCTCTTACATAGCAATAATTCATTGTGTTTATGAAATGATTTGCAATGGAAATAATATATATCAAGCTATATTTTCATTCCTTTAATAAAACACCATACTCCATCTTATGAGGACCTTTTAAAGTAAAATCCATGCTCGGCTTTGCAGACTGACAAACTGTTATACATCTTCCAGAGATTAACACTTCACACAAAATGGCAAAGCAACATCAGTATGAAAAGGCAATAGTACCTATATACAACAGATTCTTCACATACCAATAACGGTTACTCCTAATGGTAGTTAATCAGACACTATAACACTATTCTGGGAGTTATTAATTGAAATTATCTAACAAACTGTAATATCATACAGATAACGGAGTCTGTATGAGAAGTGAAGGATTGTCAAACAGCAAGGATATTTGTGGGACTTTTTCTAGCCATTCAAAGCTAGTATATATCTACATCTCATATCTTTTTTCTTCTTTTTTCTTGCATATTTTATCAATCATATCAAATTTCTCGAGCTTCAAATTATTTCAAAGCATTCTTCAGTCTTATACAAAATATCCATACATCATTTCACAATTTAGTATAGCACTCTACTGAAAAATTGCCCTGATAGAATATTTCAGCTTTTTTTTAGGATGGTCACATCAGTCTGACTCTGGGAGATGTATCTAGCTGCTGCAAAGCTGCATACAAATAAAGTAGAAGCCCAAAAATCACACTTATCCAGTTCCGAACTTCTCTGGTGAATGGTCCAAGTCTTGCTCATGAATATATGATGTAGATGTCTTGGATTAAAAGGGGCTACCATATTACAAATGTCTTTTTTGACCTTTTGACCTTTCTATGATGATGATGAAAGGTCCTTAACCATGAGACAAGCAAATGTTGTAAGAATCATTTTGCTTTTCCCATCGAAGATATCCTCTGGCAGTGCATATACCCTTGCACCAATTTTGCGGGCCATGGAGACAGCATACTTGGCATTAAGCATTTTATCCTGAAACACAAGAAAGTGGAATTAATCGTAAAAATTTATTTTCATGACTTTTTGTAGAGTTGGATGGGTTATATTACGTGGAAAGCATATGAAACTACACCAATTACAAGTAATTATACATCTCGCCTGTCCCACTTTCTTAGTATTTTAAACTTTTAGCAGAAACAACCCTAAAACATAACCACCACTCCACCACCTTTCCAAATTTTCAACTTCATTTGAATCTAAAATATGTCAATACCATAGATATGTTGTTGGTTATATACTGATAGGTAGTAAAACTGGGCATGGCTTTTTTACTTCTCCAGATTATTCACACAAATATGGCATTTTTACCCAAAACAAAAAAATGTTCCTGAAGAGGAGGCTCACAGTACTTGTTTCAACATAACTATAAACTAACTGAGGTGAATAGAACAAGCAATAAAGACTTTGTAGTCTTTTCTCAAAATCAGAGATTTTGAACCAAACAAATTAATAATTTTTCCTTATTAATTTTTTTTCTTCATTTTTCAACAATTTTTTGTTTTTTCCTTATTTTCTTGATTCACTGATTTCTTTGAAATGGTTATAATCTGACATAAGTTTGAAATTCTTTTGGTCCTTTACAAATGAGGTATTTCATTAGTAAATTAATTCAGCACAAATCCAGTCTCCTCACTTTATACATACCTCATCGCTCGCGTCATCTTCCAAATTCACGTTACTCCACTTGACTGAGCCAGGTTTAATGGAGTCAATCAGGTCCAGAATGACCTTGCTGTACGGAAAATTCCTCTCTTTAAAACTCCTCACTTGGGTCTTCTTTCCTGCTTGTGTGAGCTGTCAAAAGCAGCATAACATTAATATTTCTGACAAGAACTTGACGTTTTCCATAATATTGTCTATGATACTATTTCATAAACATTAGGCTAACTTCAAAGTTTGTTATATCAATACGATTAATCCACAGAAATAACAACTTCGTATAATGCAGTGTTTTTTAATATACTCCAGGAATTTGAAATTCCTAAAAATTTTAACCAATTTTCACAATAGAAATTCTTTGTCATGTCAAAATCAAAATTTCCACATATTTATAGTCACAGCTGCACATTTACTATTGAAAGGTATCAAAAAAATCAACAGCAGCTGCTTTAAAACTGAATCAACTTATCAAACTTTATCTAGAATGATACATGTACTGTAGGGGATGTCAGTTTAGAGGGATTTTACTTTTCACTACTTTCAAGGACCAGATAAAGTATAAATACATCAACTTTTAAAAAAGAATTTAATAATAGAGAAATACTAAAGTTTTTCAAGGATTTTCATAAAATAAACATTTTTTTTTTTTGTTTCATACCATTTGTAAAATCAGGTTTTAAGAATCAAAACATGACAAAAACAAAAAACAAATCTGTTTTAATTATACAGCTTCATCATGAACCTAATTATCAATAAATTTAATCTGCATCAACTGATTTTATAAAAAAATGTTGTTAAACAGAAAGATGCTAATCTCTGAATACATTTCCAATGGGTTCTTACCTTTTCATTTGCCCAGGCAATAATTTGTGTGTCTGTAATTGACTGGCCTTCCTGCATATCCTTCAACTTATTGAGTAGAGCTAGGGTGTATGCTCGCATCAGCTGCCACACCAGAGCTGTAACATACAGGTATTGATTTCACAAATTATGATCCTGAAAAAGTATGTAATAGAAATTAATGATGTAAGCCCATCATTCAGATCTATACACAACTGTTACGTGCTCAATCGATCAGTAAAAAAAACACAACTACCAGATAATATGAAGGAAAGCCTTTGTGATTTTTCCTATTTAATTAAGCACCTGCTTTATCTTTCAAACTGAATGTCACCTCAGGTAATAAACATAACAGATGTACATCAATCACTCAAAAAATTCATAATTTACTCTTCTTGGGTCTCAGAAATACGAACAGGAGATCCCAGAGAGATATTGACACCCACCACTGGAAACAAAGGCAGACAGGCAGGCGAACAAAGTGACAACTACTTGCTCTCTCAAGAATTTTTGGGGAGCATAAAAATCATGCCAAAATAGACATAAAAACAATTAAGATAACTTACCCAATGTCAATGTTTGATTTTCTTCATGAATGTTTTGACCAGACACTCCAACAAGAGAAAAGGAACAGTCGTTTCCAAGCTTCACTGCATAATTGCAATTCTCTGTAGAAAAACATGAAATATTCTTCACATAGAAACTATTTGGGATTTTTTCTCCAATTTCTTCATTATTTAGGCCAAATTATTTCAACATTTCGTTTCTTAGGGATTGTTCTATGGTTTTTAATGCCCTATTTCTAATGTCAAAACATGCAATTGAATTTTAAGCACTGAGATTAATCTTCATGTTAAACATTAAAATAATGTTTTTGTTGCAAGTGAAATGACATGTTGTTTATCATCTATGTGATGCATCTCCATATGACAATGCCAACGCATCAAGTATCTTTTGCTATCAACTGTTGTTGTTTTTGTCCATAGCCTTAAAACCAATCTTGGTACATACACCAGACCAAAAAGATACCAGCATGAACAATTTTTACACCTCAACCATTCTAACAAAATTAAAGGCATGTGACAATCACCTCTGTACTCTCGTACAGAAGATGTGGCAGATACACATTAACATTCATAGCTGCATGAAAATACAGGAATGTGTACTATAAGGCATTAATATCTAAAGAATGTACATATTTATGACTGTATTCTTTACAACTTATATATGTAGTCTTGATTTGATATGTGTATCGTAACAACATTTACAGTCACAACAGCTTCCGATTTGGTTTCTGCAACTTATTCAATATCTTTCAACTAGTTTCACCTCTTTAGAAAGTTGCATCAGGAAGTCTTGTTGTTAACTAGTAATTTTTCAATCGATCTTACCTATTTTTTCAAAGTTAGCTTTCAGTTTGTTGAACTTTGAATGAACCTTGTTCCAGTCCACAAGTTTTGGTCTGATATGATCATACAGTTGAAACAGGACTAATCCATTACTCAGGTCACTGTAGAGTCTATGTACAAATGGATCCACCCCAAGACTGTTCATCCAGTTACGGTAAGCTGAAAGCCATCATATTTTTAATAAATACCATATTTTCAGTATACCTACATCTCTATACTGATCAACAGTCTGTAAGAATGTAGACCATACTATATTCAAACACTATATTTCTCCTGCAATAAGGCAGGGGAAAAAAAACATTACTTTGGACTTCGGCTTGTAGATAAACTACAGAACAGCAACAGATAAGTAAAGTTCTCTGGCCTATAGATTGGATTCCATATTTTCTTTTTCATATCATCAAGATCGTGTCTGAAGACAACAATGCCAAGAAAGCTAGAATCATTTCTCACTAAAAAACAGGATGGGAGTATCTAGGGATTCTTAAGAAATTGCCATAGCAAGAATCCTTTGAGAACAGATGGTCAACAGACACAACCTACCAATTAATGATGGTAGGCTAATTAATAGATATGATCAGATCATATGATACTTTATCATCATTTTATTTTCCAAAACTAGGTAGCTAATATATGTCAGTAAAATCCGACTTCAAACCCACTTACTTTAAGTTCTAAACCATTAAAATTTTCCTTTTCCGTTTATACTTACTCTTCTCTTCCCTTGTTTCTTCATATACATCATCTAGTCGCTCAAACTCCCTATCCTCCAAAGCAGGATAGGTGTTGAACAAGTTGGCTACAAACGCAAGGTTAAGTCTCTGGTGACCTCCAACCACTTCTGCTGGTCCAATGAAACTTTTGCATCCAATCTTGTCTGCTTCTTGCAACATGGCAGTTGCACGATCAGTCTTGTCCTCAATCTATCAGACAACAAATGACAATTAAGCTTCAAAATTGTTTAAACTCTTAATTATTTAGCATCAGAGCAAATGTCAAAATTGGACCAACCAGTAGAGAGCACAAGTGCTGAGAATAATCCTGTGTCCGTACCCAACAATCACGGTATGCAATTCCATCATGGATGCACAAATGCAGATGTTACACAATATACATTCTGCTGAACGGTATGACAGACAGGATGACATTGATTATCAGTATCTGAGTGATGACAATGAGTCAATAGACGTTTGTAAACAAGGACAATGGTGATAATGTTACTAATGCATCTAAAACAGAACATAAAGCTATGAGCGATGGGTTCATAACCAGTACCAGATGGAAGGACATATGAACAAAGCCAATATCAAAATGAAGCAGTTCAAAATTTTTTTACATGCATATATAAATCTGGCTAAAATTCAAAATTCATAATCTCAAATTAACAAAGGTTGAATGATATATCCTTAATCCCAACTTGTATTTCAGCTTACAAGGAGATTTTGTGGCTTCCATGCCTTTGTAACGGTAGTGTCGGATCATTGGTGGTGTTCACCCTAAGATCTCTATGTGACCTCAAGTTGACCTCTTAAGTACCAGCCTGAATATTTTTACCGCGACAGACAGGCTTGCATCAGTTAATTTAAAATCTTGAGTAAAATGTTATGGAATGGGACAAGTACACTGACAGAACAAAGCAAAAAGTTTGGGGGAGCATAAAAACTTACACCCATAGCTCGTGTGGTAACCCCGGAGTCAACTGGAGCAATTTGATAAAGAAGGTGTGTATATGCTTCAGAATCCTGAAAATAACAAAATAGAAATTAAAACTCACACAAATAAATCAAATGACATCAAAGAGATTTCAGAAGGATTTTGGCACCTACTTTTGTGTATTATGAAAGTATGTTGTAATGGAAACATTCTCTTTGGTTAATCTGGTACCAGTACATGTCGCTTCTTTCTCCTAGACTTCGCTTTGTTGGCAATTATTTGACAAAGTTGACGTGTTAAACAAAGGCTTTATCAAAATATTATTTATGGATGAAATTTAGACATTTTAGATAAGCAGTACATTTCAAGAAGGATTGGTACAAGTTTTAAGAGTTTTCTGGTTTCATCTATCAAAGTTAATATTTTAATCAATTTTAATCAAATAAAAGAATTTGGCCCGGACAAGAGAAAAACTATCCAAGTTTAATTAAACAAAGTTTGACAGTATAAAACAAACTTCAACCTTCAAGACACGATACAGCAACCTTGACCTCAACTTCCGATCATGACAGACACAATTGGTGTTGTCTGGACTTTATTACTGTTTCCTACCCTGCTGGCTATTCTCACCTTGATGTCCTCTGTGAAGTTGGACACACGTTTTGTTGTGTCAGATTTTGCTAGTTGGTAGTTTACCCAGCGAATGAGGATCTGTTCTGGGCTCAGCCTCAGCAAATCTTCCATAGTCTCACCTTCTTCTAGAAGGACTGCCAAGTTGGGGTGTTTCATTATATTCACCTCGCTCAACAGACCAATCTGCAACAAGGATAAATATCAACTTGGACAGGGAACACAAATCACAAAATTCAATATATTTTTCAAGTGCAATCCATTTGCAATCTCAGCAGATTTTATTCCGGAACATCCGATTTGTGACGGAAATGTTTACACTGTTACCGTGTTTCTACACAAGGTTGTCCATGTGTACTAAAATCTGGGTGTAATGTCAACACAAAACCATATAGCAAGGCAGTATTTATGTAACGATGAATGTCACCTATGTTTACTACAGGAGTCAATCATTGCAGTGTAGTGTCATTGAGAGTTCTGTATTAGAGTCGTATAAGTGTTATCAGTTCATCAGTATAGACTCCTGAATGACTAAAGTCATGCATCATTAGAATGAGTTGATCTAAGCTATCTAAACCTAGTACACTAAGCTATGCTGACATAACAAATGATATGTCACATCCTATACTGACATAACAGATGATATGTCACATCCTATGCTGACATAACAGATGATATGTCACATCCTATGCTGACTTAACAGATGATATGTCACATCGTATGCTGACATAACAAATGATATGTCACATCCTATACTGACATAACAGATGATATGTCACATCCTATGCTGACATAACAGATATGTCACATCCTATGCTGACTTAACAGATAATATGTCACATCGTATGCTGACATAACAAATGATATGTCACATCCTATGCCGACATAACAGATGATATGTCACATCCTATACTGACATAACAGATGATATGTCACATCCTGTGCCAACATAACAGATGATATGTCACATCCTGTGCTGACATAACAAATGATATGTCAAATCCTATGCTGACATAACAAATGATATGTCACATCCTATACTGACATAACAAATGATATGTCACATCCTATGCCGACATAACAGATGATATGTCACATCCTATACTGACATAACAGATGATATGTCACATCCTGTGCCAACATAACAGATGATATGTCACATCCTGTGCTGACATAACAGATGATATGTCACATCCTATGCTGACATAACAGATGATATGTCACATCCTATGCTGACATAACAGATGATATACCATATCCTATGCCGACATAACAGATGATATGTCACATCCTATGCCGACATAACAGATGATATGTCACATCCTATGCTGACATAACAGATGATATGTCACATCCTATGCTGACATAACAGATGATATGTCACATCCTTTACTGACATAACAGATGATATGTTTCTATACTGACATAACAGATGATATGTCACATCCTATACTGACATAACAGATGATATGTTCCTATGCCGACATAACAGATGATATGTCACATCCTATGCCGACATAACAGATGATATGTCACATCCTATGCCGACATAACAGATGATATGTCACATCCTATGCTGACATAACAGATGATATGTCACATCCTTTACTGACATAACAGATGATATGTTCCTATGCTGACATAACAGATGATCTGTCACATCCTATGCTGACATAACAGATGATATGTGACATCTTATGATGGCATAACAGATGATATGTCACATCCTATGCTGACGTAATAGATGATCTGAAAATATTATCTTATGCCAACAAGAGAACCAAGTTATCACTACATGTATTCTGCTGTTGACTTACCCTGATGATCTGCCAGAGCATACCCAGTATAAGATGTGGGTTTTTATGGCCTTGCTCTATATCAGTTGGACCTATGTTGACCACAGTACAGCCAATAGCCTGGGCTGAGCTGATAACCAGATTCTGGTTCTCTGTCCGAGTATATGGATTCAGTTTTGTTTTGTTTATTGTACGCTCATCAATTGTTTCTGGCACAGCTTGGTTGATCAATTTGCTAAAATCATAAAGAAATCATTCAATAACCCATCTATATTCACAGCAAAGTAATCTTTCAAACATATTAAATTATTTTTTTGTTTTATTTTGTTTTGGATACAGAGGGCACTACCAGAGAGATAACACAAATTTCAGATCCTATAGAATATTAAGTCTATAATATAAAAGGAATCAAAATAACAGATCCCAGATGGATCATGGCACCGATTATCGTTTGATATTTATTTGTTCTTAGAAAGTTGGATCTTTTACACCGTTTTTTATTGTTTCCTTTTTTCCCTTTTAATCATATTAAAGAATACACCTCAATGAACTAGTGATAATAATTATTGAACTGGATTTTAAAGAATTTTTCCGTTTCTTTTACTGGAGAGACACCCACTGTTTATACAAAACTGATTTCCCTCACCCAACCATGCTTCAGACCAAAGTTGGACAATAGCCTGGAACTCATGAAGAACAAGATGGAAATTGATGGATTTTTCCCAATGGGCTCCAGCCCTCCCATCCCAGGAGGCACAGACTCACCATTTATACATAATTATTATTATTTACATGAATTGATAGACACCTAATGCAATGGTATCCCGATTGCTAACTTAGGCCATTGGGACAACTGAGACAATAAAGTGCTACTTAAGTTCTGCATAACAACCAAATGTACTTGCCATAAAATCACACCATCCTTGGTTTTATTGAAGAGATCCTCTTGGCTGAATGGAAGTCCATATCCTGCACAGTCTTGGTCATTTTCCAGCTTCCTGTGATAAACAATTGAAGTAAAATATAAATAATGATTTATTGAGAAAGTCTGATATTACATAACTATAAGAATATGAACACTTACAGCGCACCTTGACCATCAATACCAATTAGTTATGCTACAGGAATGGTCAATTCTGCTAATTTTGTCAGATATAAATAAAATAAGGCAGACTTGACCAATTATGTCAAACAAGGTGAAACCGAATCATACCACAGATCTGATAGGGTTTTTGATGCCCATTACAGTTTTTGCTTTTTGGGGTTTTTTTTTTTCAAAAAAAGATCCATCCAGTATTCTTTAAGAAATAATGATAGCAATATTTCACTGTCCAAATCCAATATGGCTGCCTGTCAGCCATTTTTTGTTTTCTAATCAAAAATCAAAACGGCACCAAGATACCAAGAAAAAAAATGACAATGAAATTTAAGAGAGATCCATCCAGTACTTAACTAAAAAAATGATAGCATATAACTACTCTGATTGACTTGATTTTCGGACCAACCCTAATATTGACAATAACAACCTATAATCGTCAAAAACCAAGACTGCCACATGTCAGCCATTTTGTTTTTTCGATAGTTCCAAAATGAAGTATGCACAGCTAGGGACCAGGGGAATCTACTTGAAAATGATCCATTCAATGTTCTCAAGAAATTTGTTTAAGGAAAGATAGATGAAGGGCAATTTGAAAAGCATTTCAGTTGACGATGGTGGTTGTCTTCACAAATCAACAGGTGCCTCACATCACAGCTTGAAAATTAATAATGATGGTAAGAATCTCTAAGAAAAAAAAACACTGCTTTTTTTTCCAAATTCTATCAAAGTGGTAAAACAACATTTCTTAGCACTAAGATCAGCTACGAAGTCTATGTGTACAGTTAAGGAGACCTTGTGATGATGAGCTTGTGACAAACCTGTTGATCCAGTCAGCATAGGCCCTAGTCTCGGCATGTTTTACGCTGTGAGTGGTTCCTGACACGGATGCCTCTGATGTTCCTCCACTGGTCAACAAGTCCATACGTTTATTTACTGCCTTTTTAAACTGCATCCCTAAATCTGTTTTAACCTTGAACTCCTGATATATCTGGAGAGTGGATAGGAAAATAACAGGTTGGTTCAAACGCACAAGTTATTTAAATTATCATATTTATTATTGTTGTTCATAGACAAGTAATCAAATCCTTCTTACATCAGTTTTGCATACCAGATAATCCCAACAATTAATAATGGCAAAATGCTATAGTATGTAATGTGTGCACCCCCCACTTTAAACATTTATCTCCTCAAAAAAACCAAAAGCTGCTAAGATAACATTGGTTTTTACTGTAAAGAAATATTAGTTGTAGCTATTGCCTGGCAGTAAGAAGAGATGAGCTTATATCTACAACTTCGCCTTACTAATGTTATTCTATGCTGCATGTCAATCGATACATATACCATATTGTTATTCTAGAAACTAATTAAATCTTCTTAGAGTAGCAAAACATGACAAGGTAATTATTTTCATTACAATGCCTGTATACTAATCTATGAATATACCTACACTGATAAACTCCTTTTCGTCTATCTTTCCATCTTTTGACAGGAAAGATTTTTCTACAAGCGTCCTGATTTCATAGTTAGGGGGATTGAGGCCAGCCTTTTTAAGTGCACTGCCAAGTTCATCTATAGGGATACTGCCATCTTCTTCAAACTGAAAACAATGAAAATACAACTATCAAGCAAAGTTAAAATTTTCAACTCATTGTTAACATCTATTACAATTGATGACCAAAAGTATTCTGCAAAGGCTCAAAGATTGAGAAAAATCTAGAAACAAACATTTAAATGTGATGACTACACAGATTTAAAACATATTAAACAAGGAGCCCATAGGACCTGTATTACTCATCTGGTTTAGTTTGGTGAAATTTATTCATTTTAACTAGAGGAAAAGTATTTAAAATACATGTATCTTTTTCAATTAGGCTTAGCTCCTCTGCTCCAATGGGATTAGATGCACCAAATCATTCCAACAGGAGAACGATTTTACAGAATTTGCTCTTTTTCTATCATTGGGCTCTGCCCCTCCTACTGTTTATACAAAATTGATTCCCTTCACCAAATCATGTCTGACAAAATTGGAAAGAATCCTGACATTCATGCAGGAGAAGAATGATTTTAATGAATTAGCTCTATTTCCCTTATTAAGCACCAGGAGGGAGGGGAGACCCATCCTTTATAGGAAATCGAGTCCCCTTCACCAAAGGATGCTTCTGACCAAATTTGGGCAAATTCAAACTGGATGAATAGGATTTTAAGGACTTGTAAATGTTGTCCTCCACTCCTCCTCTTCAGGCTGAGACCAAGAATTCAGAAGAAATATTTTCCCCTTCTCTGAAAAGATGCTTCTGACTGAAGTTGTTCAGATGTACATTACTTCAGTAGCAATATGTAGAAAAAGTTGATGGACCTATGAACAGATGGATGGAGGATACCTACGCGTGTCGTAAACTCACATGACCTTTCCAGCCAAGTGAGCTGAAATAAAAAAAAATACAAAAAAAAAAAAAAAAAACATTCAAACAAATAGTATGGAGAATATTACAATCCTCCATGCCCACCGTTGTGATTATTGACGAAATTCTGTTAAACCCTCAACACTTTTTAACTCAACCCAATTGTTGTAGGAAGGGCACAAACATTGTAATATAAACATTATATAACATATCGAAAGTAGAGGCAGAAACATCCATAACCCAGGGGCTATTGGATACTGAAAAGCATCTCTGACTAATATATTTGAACTAAATAAGGACATATGACATGTGTACATGTATAGAAATGTTGACAATTCACCAGTATCAACTCCTGTATCTAAGGTTGATGTACAGATATCTAAGGTTGATGTACAAACTGGTAAGACATGCCTGTGGATGATTTTAAGTGATCCAATTTTTTTCAGTCAAGTAAGTGAATTAATGGATTATACCTAAAACCTCAGCACACGCAAATATAATTAATGTCTTCTAGGAATAGTATATAAAATATGACGATCCAAAAATTATATTTCAACCATCCACTAGCCTACATTTCAGCACTGCCGTGCAAAATTACTGTTGACTACATGTCCTCTTAATCTGTAAACACCTCCACCTACAGATATTTTACAAGGTCACCTAGTTATCTTCACGCGAGTGTTCGGACCTTGAAATCGCATACAGATTAAAGTTGATTTTAAATAACGTATCAAGCTTTACTTGTTTGAACAAAGCAGATTTTAAACATTTTTTTCTTTGACACCAATTCTTCATATCAATTTTTCCAACAAGTGAGTTTAGTATCTACAAAGAACTTGTTACATGTAAGACAGTAATTCTTATTTCATATTTATAGACATTTCTTTTCCTACCTTATCTTTTGTCAATTTAGGTATCAGTATCTCCAGTGCTGTAGTGAATGTTCAATATTTCATATTTTATATACCATATTTTCATAATTTTCATTAATCGGTAAATATTTATAAAATATGTACGACTTTGACAAATAATTGACGAATGTTCAATGCCATTCACAGCGTCCTACACAAAATACACAAAACCTTTAAACAGTTTTAGTAATCGAATATACACATATGTATGTTGTTTTTTTTTTTGGTTGCCTCTGCCAAAGTCCTCAAATCTATCAATTCCAGGGTGCAATAGTCTACTGGAAACATTCGCTACACTTTCTTGCATATACTTTTGTGAAGAAACCAGGAAAGTCAAGAATGTATTACTATTACATATAAACAGGTATGATTAATTAAATCCACAAGAACGTTATTTGATTGCAATCTTCAAATCATTTAGTATACGAATACCATCGGTCCTACGCAATTTGCTTTAGTCACAAACATGCGGTACTTGTAAAACCAGTTTATGATGTTTTGTACTGGTATTTGATTTTCCCCATTCAGTCGATGTTTTTGGTTTTGCCATGTATAAGCTGCATCGGCGTATAAGCCCCACGCCAGACTAACTCCGGTAATAGTTGAGACTTAAAGCCAGTAAAATGCGGTAACTAATTCTACGTTAATAAAGGAAAGGGTCCCCACCCAATGAAACAAAGCTTTCCCACCTGTGAAAACAATTTATTTTTAATGGAAAACAAAACATATTTAAATACTAGGTTTTCCATAATTTATATTCCTAGATCAAAATTAATACACCTAACAGTTATATCAATCAAAATTATCTATATTCAAGCTATCTAGTATACATTGAGCAAACAATTCATTGTTTTTTTTACAGATAAGATTAATCACAAATACGTGGACTATATTCTAGCTATCAAATTGTATTTATTATCAGCCAAGAAAATTCTTTCCATGATTTATTTTAGGTAAGGACTGCTGCACATCTTGTTAAATATGTAGGATTTTAAGTATCTTGATTATAAAGTATAGCTTTAAATGTTTTTTTTCCTTTTTCAAGATTTCCCAGATCAAGTCTGAAAAAGGAGAGAATTATTCTCTTCCTTAATCAGTAAAATCACATGGTTGAAAGATGTACCCTATTGTTAGTTGCAGATATAACATATTCAATGACGAGTTGAATGCGGACTGGGGTACAGATATTCACAGGCAGCAGTCGCTATAACATATCAAAGATAAGCGAATGACAATACAAACAAACAGCAGGCTGGCTCTAAAGGTAAAACCAAGGAAGTTTTAGCGGATGTAGTTCCTGTGTATCGACAAGGGTCCACCTAAAGTCAACTCTACGCTAAATAGACTTCAGAAACAGTAAGATAACCATAGCCACTACAACTATCCAGCATAGATTTAAAATTTTCTTAAGGAAATTACAATTTTACCTAAATTAAAGTGTGTAGGAAATGTACTGTTAAATTACTTAAAAAATCCTTTTATAGCCTTGTTGAATCTTAAAACTCATTTGTAGGATTCTGAAGATATCAGAATAATCTATATAATCGTAATAGATGCAAATACGACCAATTAAGACAGTGATACACCATCACTCATCACCAACCACCTGGAATAAAGTTGTTCAGTCGTTCATCATTTTATCACCTTTTCAGTTCTATTTACCGAAAACATACATGGTACCTATGTTAACCAAATAGATCACAACACCAGTATTTATATAGATCAGATTCATCCTTAAAAAACTGTTCAATAAACATAAAGTTGTGATCATTTAATATTAACAAAATGAAGCCTAATAAAACCGTTCACAGCCATAAGTTATCCTACACTAAACCTCTACATAATACAGTTTAACATTCATCACATGTCAAAATAACTGCATAACAGCTGGTAAGCTTGTGAAAATGAAAACCATGATAATATTAATAATTACTTTTTTATCAGATAACAATTACTTATAACGGCTAACCCAGCTAATGATTCACAACATAAACAAACCTCCTTTATCTAAAACACAGTTTACATAACAATTGATTTCTATCAAAAAGAAATCAACATTATCTTGATATATTTGTCAGCTAGCTGCATAAATAAAACCTAGCCACTGCAGGCAAGACCTAATATCGAGTAATGTGCTCCTGACCTAGTGTGTAAATTATGTTTTAAGTGAAACGACAAATATGTAACAAAATGCACTGAGGCATACACATGCAACATATTGTCCCGATGTTGTCTAGTTTGAACTTCACGAGATAACTTGTGATGTTACGGCCTGCCACGATGTTAAGGCCTGCCATGTAATCTATCATTGGCAATACATGTAACTGTAAAACTGGCATGTCTTTGTGCTAAATAACATTCACATACACATAGAAGTAGTATATGACATCAGGCTTCAATGCATCCTATAAAGCAAAAATCTGTCGATTCCTCTTTTTGACTTTTACAGATATGTGAACATGTTGTACTGTATCACAATGCTTAACACCAGTATTTCACTTGTAATTTTCTCACATGCTGCTGTGAAAAGGTTTCTCTACTGAAACACTTCATTCATGGTGGCTGAAGGCGAGTCTGGTAGTTGGGCATGGGAAGAGAATTAAATTAGACATGTATTTAAGTCAATTAATCAGTGCCCGGTAATAATCCCACACATACCTGATGCTGTTGATTTGTAAGAGTATAATTACCAACCTATGAAGTAATCCCATTTTATTACCCTAAGCTAGCTGGCATCCTATGACTTTTAGCCAGAATTTGAATGGTGTCCGTCTGGGCTTCATTCATGATAAAACTACATCCCTATATAAGGCTGTGTTGTGAGATTCCAGAATTGAGACTGTGAACTGCCTGCAATGCATTGGTATTCTAGAGTGGTTTACTACTGGGAGCTTGTGGAACACAAGGATAAATAAGTATTTGGGTGCTTGTGGTGAAAATGCAGCAGGTGATCAAATTTTACAGAGTACAGGGTTTGGAAAAGGGTGAGTTGACAGCTGCATCATCAAAACAGAGGAAGATGGAGATGTCACAGAGCAACAATGGGATAACTTTGAATTATATATATTACAATGGAGAACAAATCAAGAAAAACATGTTTGGGAAACTTTGTATTTCTGCTATACAATAATTAATTAAAGTTATAATTAGAAGGACATTGTAAACACATTTAAAACAGTACTTGTTCTACTTTGTACATCCAGGGCTCTCACACCCCATTTTGGGACTGGGGCCCGGGACCCTTTGAATTGGAAAATATAATGGTGTTTTCCTTAGAATCAGGA